GTAAGGTATTTTGCAGGTGAATTTTGAAGGCGTTAGCCTTCTGTTGGTTTGAGTTTATGATTTGGTTGTTCACCACAAGGTGAGAAGGGTTGTTGGATTTCTGTTTCGTTAGGCATTTGAGTTTAGACCACCGTCCCGATAATTAAGACTAGAGGTAGCTGCAATCCACTGTCTGTTTTGATTAAGGGGTTGCGGGTATGTTAAAACTAACGAAGGAGTCGTCTCTTTTATTTGATTTTATCAACAATGCTGTTTATCTATATGACCGTTATAATAACATAACATGCCTAAGTACGCTAGTAGCGACCTCTATATGAAAAATAAGGAGTCAGAAGACTTCTATTCGATAGCGAACTACTGCAAATCCAAGGTTATCGGATAATATTAGGAATAACTATTATTCCGACAATACATCTATAGTTTACCCTTATTATAGTTAGAAAAAATATAGTATTACAATTCTGAGAATTTAAGTTTATTATGGAACAAAAAGAAATTATCCTACATAAAAACGATATTTATTAAATTTCTAATAGACTTATAGATCTATAACGAATACATGAGTCAACAAAAATATTTTTTGAGTCTGTTTTATGTTATTTAGTAAATCGCGGGTGACCTGGCAATACCTCCTATCTACCATTTTTGACAAAAATGAGATTTTTCCAGATTTAAACATGTAGCATAAAGATACACCTTTGTTTAAAATCTCGTATTTGTATGATTAAGCCCAAAGCCTAAAAATCGCTATTGAAAAATCTCCTACCTGACTAGAGGAAATAAACAAGATGCAAATTATCCTATCTAACTGGTTTGTGTGATAAAGTTATGCGCTATGCGCTACGGACGTGCTTGGACTTGTCTGACGTTTTATTGCGAAAATCATACTAACTGCGTAAGTATTTCAATTGTTTATTCAACATGTGTGTTTATTTAGTTATGTTAAAGCTATTTTAGACACATTACTTAGTTTTATCGAAACTAGAAGTATGTTTCTGCTATTTAATCTACATAGGAGTACATAGTAAAGAAGCTTCTACAAGTATAACCACCAAGGAATACGTAAGAAGGAGATTCGATACGGACTATGGATTATTAAATAACTTTTTTGAATCATTACCCAAACTTCCATCTCATTACTATCGTCGAGATACTCTTAAACTGTACCAGGAAAACACCTTTCAAAACATTGCTCACCTTACAGTGTCTACTGTCATGACTTTTGCAACGACAAAAAAGTAACTCCATTGGGAAGAAATGTTTTTCTAAGAAGTTTAAAGAGAAGAACTTATCACTATACAAGTCGAAAAAATACCAGTGTAATACTTGTTTTTCATTTAAATATGGAAATATTTCCGAAGACGAATATCAGTTGCATATAAGAAGGAAAGATCTTGCGAGACAAGGTTCTCTAAAGATCAGAATAAAATAATTATTGCATCAACATTCACAAGTTGCATTATACATTACTTGAAGACGTATTGCTTGACTGATTCTAAAACACCAATCGTGATGTTCTCCGATGGTTGTGGATATCAGAACAGAAACAGTGTTTTAGCTAATGCACTATTAAATTTTGCTATGAGATACAATATCTTTGTATACCAAAAATTTCTTGAGCCGGGTCACACTCAGATGGAGTGTGATTCGGTACATAGCGTTATAGAAAGATGTCTTAGGCATAGAGAAATCCATTTGCCTAGCGATTATGAGTCAGTAACGAAAAAAGCGAGAAAAACTTCTGCCCCTTACAGAGCTCGACTGCTATAATCTTCATTTTTCAAAGATTTCTCCTCTCAAAGTATTTAAGATACTCTTTTATTAGCCTGGAAAAAAAACCAACGATCCAGTAAACAATGACATCAAGAGTATTCAATATGATCCATGTGGCACTATAAGAGTAAAATTAGATTATGAGGATGAATACAAAGAACTCCCCCAAAAACTATGCCAACAATATTGGAATATCCCAAACTGTTACAAGGACCATGCAAAATTAAGTCTGAAAAGTAGCAACATCTGCAGGAGCTAAAAATCAGTTCTTCGCAAAGATAGGCATGCATTTTACATGAATAATTTTGAAGTTCCGAATCATTATTTTAAAAAATATGTGCATATTTAACAAAATACCTTAAAACAAACTTATTTCTATTCTTTTTTTTTGTTTTAAGTTGTAAGAAATAATTTTTAAGTTTGAAAAAAAGTTTTCTCCTATAGGCAAAATAAAGTGTTGTAAAATATCCTATTTGACAATATTTAAGAATCAATATATCCTAAGTGTCCTAATAAATACATAATTTAACAACTCTACTATTTTATTTCAAAACAACGTTATAGCTTATATTATTTAAACCATTGACTTAAAAAATAATAAAAAAGTCCTTACAGTAACGATTTAATCAGTTTTTTGTTTCTCCTGAAAAAAGTGTTTGACATCACTTAGGAGGTAATTGCCAGGTCACCAGCGAAATATTTTATTTGTTTCATAGAAAATTAAGCAGAAATTTTACAAATAATAAATAAAGTTTACTTTTGTACCTTAAGGCTGTTTTAGCAGTTCAAGCACACGCTGCGATTTGAAATGGTCGTATCACTTACATTTCTACACGGCTTACTCGAGACTATCTTTACTCATTGGCGCCGGCCAACGGGTAGTTTAATGACAACAAATGCATTACTCTCCATTCAAATTGGTTTTTAACTAAGCGAACTTCGTTGAAACTAAGCGACAATGATGAGTAACACGTTTCACTATTAGATTTTAGTATTTTTTAGCAATTTTCTTCAAAGTTGGAACACGCTTTTCTCGATTATTACTGGACACAGAAAGGTGAAAAAAAATCAACGACTACAGAAAAAAAAAACTCTTTCAAGAGATAGGCGTAAAAAGTTTGGTTATAATAGAACGTTAAACAGTATAATCCAATTTTTTCAACAAAAGTTTCAAAAAAATAAAAAATGTAAAACCATCATTTTACAAGCAACATAATTTCGAATATTGTGTCCAAATTTTAAAACATTTTGTCGGTAAATAAGAGTCCCTAGGTTTTGGTGCACCGATATTAAAACAGCCTTAATATAATGAAAAATAAATATACGGTGTTTTAGCAGATTTTTTGAGGAGCCCTTGCATTAAAGATGCGAGATTGGGGAGGGGAGACTGTGGGTGTCAAATGGCAGACTGTTGCCATTGGTGGCAAAATGACGTGTATTCTTTTTGCTATATTTGAGGCGAATCACGGTAATATCTTACCTACATGAAAACGGACAACTAAAAAATTTGGTCCACGTACAAAGTGCTAACAAAATCACATAGATATTTGAATTAGATCTTGATAGAAATTAAGCGTAGAATTGCAATGATTAAAAACACCTTTTAAAATGAGGACAGTTCTTTGTAATAATTCTGTTTGAACTCCGTATCTTGTTAATGAGAACGATAATTTTTTATTAGTTAGTAACACTAAGATAGTAGTATTATTAGTTTTTCATGTTTCACGATTTTCAATTTTTTATGCTTTGTAGATATAACGTATATGGATTGTAATACAATATTTTCAATTACTCAACTTGGCGATTTCTTGATTCGTTTGAAATTCACGAAAAATTTAGATCTATCTCAAGATTATATGGAAATAAAATATTGAAGTATGAAGGTATAACCCAAAAATATTAAAAATTGTCCATGAAGCACTTATCCTAAATCCTTTGAATTATAGAAGTCAATTCCTAGCTATTTGCTGTAAAGATTTCTTGGAGAAGTTAGATTAGATGTACTACCAAAGTATCCAGGTTATCACAGGATGCATGAAGTAAACTTTAATCCAAGCCCTGTTATCAGAATCAAAATACAGAAGATAAAGCTCAACAAAATTTGATTAAAAAACCAAGTGTTAAAAACAACCCTGTCATTCAATCAATCGTTGAATTAGAAGGACTTTGTTATATAGACAATAAATACTGGAGAAATAAGGAAAACCCCATATTGGTAACAACTCTTAGAAAAATCAAACTTTGTTTGCATGACTTATACTCCAACTGCTTCTTTGGCATGAATACGAACTGGAACTACAACTTCAACCGATAGCAATTCTAAATAAAAACATTACAAAAAATGAATTCGATCTTATGGATTTAGTGAACATATTAAAAATTTTCCTTCATACAAAACAATCTTTACGGATGGCTCCACTGACACAATGGGAAATGCAGAATTTGGAGTTTTTCCCCAGTTATAAAGACTCCAAAAGTGCATTACAAAAAATCAAAAAAACAGGGTTTTCTAAAAACACAAAACATATATCATCGAAAAGAGGAATTATCCTAGTAAGGAACAATAATATAGAAGTTTGACTTATGCCGACAAATACGAGTACAGTTTGTTTTTTTTTTAATCACCAATTCTCCCATTTACCAAGAGTGTAATAGTGACTAGCACGGCACAGAAATTCACAATGTTAGAGGCAACGATTTCTAGGTTATGTTATGTATAAACGGTCTAAGAAGACATATTATATCGTAAAATACCTCGTGAACTAAGCTACCTGAAGCAACGTCTACAAATGCATGTATTGTATAAAAATTAAATTAGTATAAAAGCACCGGAAAAAGTTTTTCAAAAATTACTTGCGGCTTTCACAGTGGTTGCTGCAAAAATGATAATAAACTGCCGGCATGGGCATTTAGATTTATATTGACATCGGTGTACCGGAAAAATAACTAAAGCATTTCACCATTTTACCCGATTCACCATATCACGCTGAATTACCTTACCCATTTTATACATAATTTGGCTCAAATAGTGGTCTCAATTGTATTCTGTCCCCTCGTCCCTTTTATTTTTATTATTTTATTCATATTTGAGGGTCTCCATTTCCTAAAAATAATAATTGAAATGAAGTACCGGCCCTGTATTATCAGATTCCTGTAATTTATGTATCTATGCAAAGAACAACTGATAAAGCAATTATTTTCACACTGATACGGGATACAGATCCAATAATGTAAACGTGAGATGCGTGATTTGTAGTAATATAGTATTTCCTGACTCATTCACTTAAAAAGGGAAAATAATTCACAGTAAGTTGGGCAATTTTTAATTAGTTAATTGATGTTTGTAGTTTTGTTATCAGTATAGTACTTTTTTTAACTGAAGGTATCGTTCCAGCTTTGTCTGAACTTAAATTTGGCTTGAGTGCGTCTATAAATAGCTATTACTTTAAGTATTCTTTAAATGGAGATATCTTAAGCTAGTGTTTAAGTTTATAATACAATGCGCTATCGGTATATGATATACAAGCTCTTCCTATCTATCAAAATGCTTTTATTTATTAATACCATTAATTCCATGCCGGTGTAATCTTCGAATCAAGTTTGTAGTTGGCCATATATTTGTTGGCTTCAATCGATAGTCCACTGTTTCATACTCATAGTTATTGTTGTTTAGCTGTGCGTATAGGAGTGTTATTGGTCTGTAGTTTTGACAGAATTTTTATCGCATGGATTATAAATTCTAGATGTATGCTGTCAAAACTTGGGGCTTTGTAAATGATCTGGATAATTCTGAGAAATCTGGAATGTTCTGTTTAAGTGATCTATGTTGACCTTCTTTGGTACTTCCTCGTTAGTTTTTCTTGTCATCCAAGGTATCTTCGTCTATCAATATACCTTTCTAATGCTTGGCAATGTTTTAAAATCTATAAGGCAGACGAAACAAACTATTTTCAATATATCGTCAGTTGTTTTCGGCCATTCCGATGACAATATCAAGGTTCAAACCAAGACTCAAATTCAACTGAGATTAAGATGGGGTTAGAAAGGCTCTCTTAAACATCAGTGAAATATCTAATCAAATGAGTAATCTTAGCAAAAAATTATCTACTAAACCAATGACAAAAGAAGTATTGAAGAAAAATACATTTTATGCCACCTCAAGTACCCTAACTGAAGAACCACAACATTTCCAACCAAGTCCAGAGAAAAAGCCAAAAATTACACAAGATAAATGTTATTCTGTAATTATTACCAACTTAAACCCAATTTACACCACTATACAAGTTTAATTAAAAATCCTTTGTAATAGGTATATATTTAAGGCCCAAACGGGCTAAGTTACAAAGACAAAACGTTTTCGGAAACCATGTTCATCTTTTCAGAGATCACCAGGCAGACATCTTTTCTTTGATCACGGCATTTTTGTAATAAGATATTTAGCGTAAAAAGTACCTCCCTAGTTCCCATAGCATTTCTATAGGAACTATAGCATTTCTACTAAAATCAAATTAGGTTTCTTCGAGATCTTTTTCGTATTTGCTCGTATTTCTGTTGTGAAGCATTTTTTGGAAAATCTTAATACGGTGGCTTGTTACAAAAATTACATCGTTATGGAATACAGGAACCGGTATTAAAATAGATAAAATAATTTCTCACAGATATGTCACAAAAAGTATGCTTGGAGAAACAATGTAAGGTTTACTTTGAACCGATCAACTGAAAATTAGGCATAGCACAGCAGAGCGTATTGGGGCTTTTTCTCTTTTAGGCACATATGAACGACCTTCCAAATGAGCTTGTAATTTTCGGTATTTGACTCAAATGCGCGCTGTTCTGGGAAAAACATTAGAAACAGTCCTTACAGTGGCAAAGCAAACTCTAATCAAGGCTGAACAGGTTCAGTGGAAATAGGCTGTTGCTTAATACTGATAAGATAAGTTTGTGTTTACTTTAGAACCAGCTAGCCACGGGAACAGTTCCCAGATACAGTAAATTTTCTATAAAAAAATACAGAACCTGCTAGATCAGTTAACTTTCTTGAGCCTTGAAATGAAGCCTGTTACTCATTCTTCTTCTTAAGGTGCCTGTCCGTTCCGAACGTTGGCGATCATTCTGGCTATGAACATTCTTGCTATACGGAATAGCTGTATGAGGCCTTTCTACACCATGCTCTCAGGTTAGTAAGCCAGGATATTCTTTCTCGCCCTGGGGTCCTTTTCCCTTCAATTTTACCTTGCCACACTTTAAAAGTATTGAAAAGCTATCTAAACCAGGGAATTTTCATCATCATCATATAACGGGGGTTCTACGGCGATTGCCGCTTCCCGCATTTCAGCCTCCATCTTTTCCTATCTCTCCAATCTCCCTCTTCTAAGCCTCTAGATTGCATTGTTTTTGTAATTTCTTTCTCCAGGAATTTGGTGGTCTTCCCCTTTTCCTTCTTTCTGGCGGAACATACACTAAGGCTTTCTTTGGCCACCGCTCCTCCTCCATTCTCATCACGTGACCATACCATTGTAATTGCCTTCCTTGTATTCTATCTGAAAGAGTATCTCTAATTCCTGTACGGTTTCGTATTTCCTCATTCCTGATTCTTTCCATTCTCGATACTCGACATGACCTTCTAAGATAATCCATTTCCACAACGTCTACTTCATCTCGTTCATTCTTTGTCATCGTTCCAACATTCGGCACCATATGTGGTAATTGGTTCTACAATTGCTCTGTATACACGAAGTTTGGTATGCATCTTTATTTTATTACACCACAGTAATGAATTCAGTATTCGGATGCATTTTTTCCCTTGGGTTATTCGGTTTTGTACATCTCTCTTCACTCTGCCATCTGCTGATATGATGCTTCCTAGATATTTATACTGGTTGCAACCTTTTACGACTGCGTTTTCAAGCCTCGATCTGTGGTATTTCCTCCAATTTTTAAATATTCTGTTTTGCTTATGTTTACAGTAAGCCCCATTTGGCATATTCCTCAAATAATTTTCGATTCATATAATTTATATTTTCCTCATCGGTTGCAACCACCACCTGATCATCTGCAAACAACAATGGGGACCAACCAGGGACTTTTACTATCAATATATTATGCAAACTTTTATTCTGTTATGCGATATGAAGGAATCTTCTGGGGTGCTGCAGTGGATAGCTCAACTTTCTTTATAGTAAAAAAAAGGCAGTCCAGGTGATTTTAGTACTAAAGGCGGAAGAACACTGTGGAGGCCGATTAAAATCACTCAATATACTCACTTTCTCAGTCTTCTATATATTTGAATGTATTATTTTCCTCTTTAAAAATTTTACTTTGTTTTATCACCTTTTTCCAAAGCATGAATATAATACAAGAAGCCTTACTTATTATCTGACATTTAACGGGAAACACACTACAGAACTTTTAAAAGAAAGGTTTTTCAACATCTAGTTAACATTGAGCACTGATTAGCATATTTAATTTTTAAGGTTAATATATATTTTTTAAGTTGTGATCCACTCTACATTATCTATGTCTAAGCTTGTTCATTACAGAAGGGATAAAATGGTAGACGTTACGACTTAAAAACGTCTTAAAAAACGTGTAAATCGAGAAAAAAATGTATGATTGCTATATTATTTTTTGACAGCGTTTTAAGTAAAAGCTTTTGTAGTTTTATCTACTGTAGATTTAAAAAAAAGTAATAATATTGTGAAAACTTACATTGGTATTTTATATTTTCAGTTTTCCTCAAAAATGAGGTTTTCAAAGAACCTACTAGTGTTCATAGTGGTCATTCTTGCTTATAGCTATGGTTTAGAAGAGAGTTGTCCATCTATGTGCAAGTGTACAGAAGAACAAGTTGATTGTATAAGTAGAGATATAGAAGAAGTTCCCGACTTTGAATCCTTGACCAATCATCCACAAGTTATTGATTTATCTGGCAACAAAATAGGTGAGTTTCTTTTAATTTCCAACTACATGACTTTTTTCTTTCTCTGATTGCCATTATTTTAATATTTTTTAATGTTTTGTGCACACAGTTCTCCTCATGTGTTCCAAGATTCGTATTCCTTTTCTTGTAACTTGATCTTTGATAACTAACAAAATCAAAACACAGATTATAGCTGCTATCACAGACATTCAATTCTTTCATAAAATATTATCTTGTTATTATATGTATTTACCTTTAAGTATTGTTCTATGAGACTTATATTTTGTGTTCGATGTAAATATTAAATACAAGATTTAATAAAAATATAAAGTCTACGTTTATTAATACTACATGGCGCAGTCAGTAGGATTACTAAACTCTTACTAGACTTATTTAAATCACTAACACGCATCGAAATAAATAAATAATATTGTGCAATTCACGTACCTTTTGTTCAGCAACACGATTACAAATATTTTATTGTTTTTTTAGCAATGATAGGTCCATACGATCTATCGTTCGAGAAAAGCTATATGGTCAAAGAGCTATATCTCAACAACTCTGAAGTGATAGACGTCGACAACGAGGCATTCGACGATTTGGAAAATCTTCAGATGCTTTACTTGGGAGAGAATTTATTGCGAGTGGTACCTGAAGACTTTGTCGGCGAGTTAACGGAATTAATCCTGTTAGATCTCTCTGGAAATCCCTTTGAAGGTAAGTACGTTTTTTAATTGGTTTTCTTTCATAGATAATGTGATTTATTTTAATTTATTTAAAGTTATTTTAACGCTAACACTAAAACATAACTAGTAAAATCTAATTGTCCATATAAACAGTCAAGCTCATTCTTCAAAACGTTTCTAGAATTTTAGCAACGTCAGAACAGCTGTAGATCTTTGTCTAAATTCAATCAGGGGCGTAGCAAGGGCTGGCGTAACATTGTCTCCTCATTAAGAGATGGTTTCTCCTGGACCCTTGTCGGAAGTGGATGCTGATATCGGCAACTGGACCATCTTTTACCACTCCCAGTTGTATCAACGTGGAAAAAGACGGTTTTCGCTCCACACCGGTAACCAAGCGGATTACAACAGACCAGTATCTGGACTTCGCTATCTTTAAAGATTTCTTCCGCCATATTTTGGACGACCCTCCAATCCTATTGGCGGCATTCTAGCCTTGGTATGGCTAGTTCTTGCACATTGGACTCCAGCACGTGCTCACACAATTAGAGTAATGTTTCCCATACATTTTGGTAGGTGGGTTGATCATGATCAGTGTCTTTTGTTAGCAGATTTAAAGAGTAACGTGATGTATCGTGTGGGTTGTTTTTACAGCTTTTTCGATAGCTGGTAGTTGACTTTAAACTTTTGAATCTCCACGAAACTTCATGCGAAAGATGAATGCCAATCTTAGGGCGTCTTTAATACTGAGCGGAATGGTATGGGCCAGTGAATAGTCATCTAGAATTGCGATTAGATCTTGCTTTTCTCCGGTGGTAACACCATGTCTTGCTTTACTGCCTCCACAGGCCCCCATGAATTTCTGGCCCTAGACCGGCCCTGAATCTAGTTTATTCGGTATATGACATTGTTAATCTTCTCCCTTACCCTTCACAGAACTGCTGTCTTCTGGGAGAGCAATCGTTTCGCTTTTTTATTTTATGGAGCCAGACTTTGTCATTCTTCTTTAAACATCTCTGGTCTGAAGATGGGAATGGCTCAACTCGTGTATCACTGGTTTTATTCATGCTTGGTCTACCGCAGATTTCCTGGTATAGATCGCTCTTGAAGTTCTTTCCTTAGTCACTATGGATCTCCACCCCAAATCGGCTAATGTACTCTTTAATTAACACATCTCTTGCTTTCTCTTTAAGACGCATTAATGACTTATCGAGTAAGTTAATAGCCAAGAAAACTTCTCACTTAATGTTTGTCAGTCGGTTTTGGCTACTTCTTATGTGAATCAACTTTTCCCTTATCCACGGGCACTTCTTTCTTTGTTGGGCACTTCTTGGAGTTTAATATCAGTTGGACAACTTTAAGTCGATTAAAAACATCTTCCAAATTCTTCAGACGGTCTTCAAAAGTCTATCAGCCGTCTAAATACACCAAATGGTATAACGTGTAATTGTCACAATTCAGATCCTTTGGTGAAGAACTGTATCCATTTCTACCTGGCAATATCCAGACTTTAAGTCGATCCGAGGCAGAGGATAACGTATCTTTCTTGGTAACATTGTTCAACAAACGGTAATCCGGACAGAACCTCGTAGCTCCATCTTTCTTCTTGACCAGTACCACCGGAGTTACCCATGGGTTGGTAAAACGTTCTATCACCCCAGTCTTTCTTCATTTCCAGAACAGTATCATCTAAATCATTATATTTCTACACTGTATGCATATGGTATATAGCATACAAAATTGTGTCCCTGATACTTAACGAACGACTGGCACGGTATACTGTCAATATAATAGGATCCTATCAAAGAGGCTTCTTGAAAAACAAATCTACCATTGATCACATATCATCTATCAGACAAATATTAGAAAAAACGACGGAGTACGACATAGACTGCCATTACATCTTCGTAGACTTTAAGGCAGCGTACGATACTATTGACAGGTCCCAATTATATTCGGCGATGATCGAATTAGGAATACCAAAAGGTTAGGTAGAATTAATTAAAATGACAATGATGAAAGTCGAATGTAAAGTGCGCGTACAAGGGGATGTTTTAAAAACCATTTAAAACCAATAGAGGACTGCGCCAGGGAGATGCGCTATCGTGCACGCTGTTCAACCTAGCGTTAGAAAAAGTTATGAGAGATTCAGGAATAAACTTAAAAGGTACGATATATACCCGTAGTATACAAATAATGGCATACGCTGATGATATCGTCATAACTGGAAGAACCCAAAATGAAGTAGTGGAGGCTTTCACACGTATCAAAAATGCCGCAGAAAACATCGAACTTCTGACTAACATCCAGAAAACTAAATATATGCCGGCCGTATCAAGAATTCAACAAAATAACTTAGAGGTGCAACACGAAACGATAGAAATGGTAGAAGAATTCTGCTACTTAGGATCACTGGTAGACTACAAAAATAACACATCCAACGAGATAAAAAAAAGAATATGCGTGGCGAACCGCTGTTATTTCGGCCTGGGTCCTCAACTAAGAGCGAGAAGTATGTCAATAGCAACAAAGTGCAAACTTTATAAACCAATAATACGCCCAGTGCTCACATACGGATCGGAAACATGGACAATGACGACCCGAGATGAAGAGTTACTACGAGTCTTTGAAAGAAAAGTATTGAGGACCATATTTGGCGGAGTAAACGAACAGGGTCTGTGGAGAAGGCGATATAACTTTAAACTCTATAGACTTTTTGGTGATGCAGATATTGTGAAGACCATCAAAATAAACCGCCTAAGGTGGGTGGGCCACGTTATGCGGATGGATGAGAGTGATCCACTAAAATAACTATGCTAAACAGGCCGGTCGGAAGAAGAAGAAGGGGGCGACCTAAACTCAGATATCTGGACGATGTACAGGAAGATCTGAGGGAGATTGGAGTGAGGGGCTGGAGAAGACAGACACTCGATAGGGAAGGATGGAAGAATGTTTTGAAGCAGGCCAAGGCTCACGAAGGGCTGTAGCGCCAACTGATGATGATGCATATGGTATACAATTATGCGAGTGTAATGATAATACGATGTTATGGGTTTGGACTTGTTTGAAACTCTTAATAAGGTCACTTAGAACATTTCAAAAATTTGTAGAAAAAATATTGCCGATCCTTAGCAAATCTATAAAATCTATTTAGCTATCCAATGTTAAACATTCTGTAATATTTCATATTTTTCCAGGTAAAATGCCCGTAGTACGATCCGACTCATTAGAAGTGCTTGCTTTAGCTAAATGTCAAATAACGGAAGTAACAGCAGAGGCCCTTACATATTTGCCGAATCTCAGATTGCTTTCTACTTCCAGAAAACAACATTCAGTACATAAACCCCGATGTATTCCAAGACGTGTCTGAATACTTCTCCATCAGGCTCTCCTACAACACCTGGGAATGCAACTGTAGAACCATGGAACTGTTTAGCTTTCTCGCAGACAAGAAATACCTAGACCTGACAGAACCCTATCAATGTTCCACGATTGATGGTAAAATGATTAATATTCACGATTTTCAGAATATGGATGAGTTTAAAAATGGATGTAATGCTACAGAAGAAGAAGCACTAGAGAGGAAGCAAACAATTGGTATAGGGAGTTTGTCGAGAGAAGAAAAAACAAACTCTAGTACACCTCTTGAAACAAACTCAATAAAAAATCGAACTGTTCGTGTTGTACAGGAAGAAAATATAATAGTTATCAAAGATAATGACAGTAATCTTATATTTGGTGTATCCTTAAACACTATCCTATATCAATTTTAAGCTTTTTGTCTGGCTTGATTTTGGGGTTTTTTCTTAATCATTTTGTAAGGCGAAGACAGTACTTGGAAGAGTCTGATAGTACCACAAAACTTATTATAGAAAATAACGTGCCACATTAGACTTTATCAATAAGAAAAAAAATATTTTTTAGTTATCTCTTGTACATGTCATTTAATACATTTTTAAATAAGCTAATTTATATTTTTTAATTATTTCTCATTTATAATAATACAAACATCAGAGCCAGTCTCCAGATGGGATGAATACATGAAATTAAGACCCGGCGCAAATTGAGCACAGCCCACGCACATCCCAAGCACAGCACACGCGTGGGTTTTTTTGTAAAACGTGCTTTTAGACGGAGCGACGCATATTAAACCCAAACCACGGCCAGGTTAATGCCAGACTTGGTTGGCGTGGATAAAGTTGTGCTAGCAACACAGTTTCGTTGGTCGTGGGTCTCTACCTAACCATAGTTATGATGTCATTTTCTGTACTGAACGAAGAGTTCCCAAACGTAAAAAAATAAAATCGGTAGAATTCTTTTTAAAAATCGGTAGACTGTAAAGTAAAATCGGTAGATCTTTCAAAATATTAATTTTGTGTTTAAATTTTATAATGTTTTGCAATTCGTTTATTTAAGAAAAAATAAAACATGTTTAAAAACGTGTAAAAGAACTGACTGAAATTTAAATCTTTAAATGAGTCTGTGACTATAGTGTATTTTTATGTATGAGAGAGTAATAAAACAATAAATTATGTATGCAAATCCCTAAACTGTTGATACGAGTGACTCAATGAAAAACAGATATTTGTCAACAAGTTTACAGAAGTATATAGGAAAACAATTTTAAATTGAGTATGACCACCAGGTATAAAGGTTGGAGCAGAATAGAATACAATAGTTGTGAGGGTTACTAATCCCTAAATAAGGTTGCCAGTGTCGGAGTGATGGAGGTTAACAGGTACTAATGAATTTGCAAGAAATGTAAGATGTTTATTTTATTGGTTATATATAACCAATAAAAGTTTAATAAGTACCTACCTATTTGCAAAATAAAGTTTAATTCTTTAGATAAAATAAAACGTTTTATTTTATCTGAAATGAGTGCATTCCACGAAGTAAGGGTTTCAACAATCAAACATTTAATTCTTTAATTCCAGGAATCTACGACAGTAATTGACTAGATAATTACCTTCTAAACTTATTCCACAGAAAATGTGATAGTGGGTTTTTCCATTTTGTAGGAAGGTCCAAGTGGCGTATTCAAAATTCTTAACAGTTCACTAAAAGTAGGTACTTCAGTTGCAAGGTGCAGTTTATTGTGTATACTAGTGTTATGGAAAATTTGGAAGTGCCGTGTAAACGCCGAAAAATTGGTCCTTTAACAGTTAATGAAAAAAACATTAATATTTAATTGTTTTAAATCATTTACAGACAAACGTTTATGTGAAAGTGTTGATGAGACCGTTGAGTTAGTTAGCAGTACACTTGGTGTTGGGAAATCTACGATTTACAGAGTTATTAAAGAAGAGAAATGTGGTAGTTTTCAAATGCCACGTAATGCTCCAGGGAAACCAAAATTTCAAATAGAATATCATTTTAAAGAAGGACTTCGACGGAAAGTGCATGAATTCTTCTTTAGACAAGAATTTCCAACATTGGATAAAGTTCTTGTCTCAGTTCGAGATGATAAGGATTACCCAGAAATGAGTCGAAGTACGTTATGGAAACTTTTAAAAGAAATAGGCTTCCGCTGGAAAAAGAATCCCAGAAAGTCTATTTTATTAGAAAGAAGCGATATTGTCATATGGAGAAGACATTTTCTAAGAACCATAAAGGAAATGAGAAACCAAAAAAGAAAAATATTTTATCTTGATGAAACATGGATCAACGAGGGTCATACACCAAATAAATTTTGGCAGGATGAAACTGTTACAAGTCAAAGGCACGCTTTTGTAAATAACTTATCTACTGGTTTAAACCCACCATCAGGAAAGGGACGCAGGCTGATAATAGTACACATTGGCAGTTCAGACGGTTTTGTTGAAGGTGCGGTTTATTAACTTTTGAATCAACTCGTACCGGTGACTACCATGAAGACATGAACGCTGATGTCTTTCAAGAATGGTTCGAACAAATGATAGATCTTCTTCCTAAGAACTGTGTAATAGTAATGGATAATGCAAGTTATCACTCCAGACTTATAGAAGGATGCCCACAACCAAGTGGTTAAAAAAAGACTTGCAGAATTGGCTGAGTTCAAAAAATATTACGTACCATCCCGGATCTATAAGAAAGGAACTTTATTCGTTGTGTGCCCTTCATAAAGAAAAATTTAAAAAATACGAAATTGATGAAATTGCCAAAAATCGTGGAATGACAGTACTTAGATCCCCACCATATCATTGTGAATTAAACCCGATTGAACTGGTATGGGCACAGATAAAGAGTGAAGTTTCAAGAAAAAATACCACTTTAAAATTCATGATGTTAAACAGTTGTTTTTGGAGGCCGTAAATAATGTAAAACCTGAAAACTGGGAAAAGGCAGTAAATCACACTATTAAAGAAGAGGAAAAAATGTGGAAGCTGGACAATATTACTGATAAAATGATCGAGCCAGTTATTATAAATCTTGGTTCTGAAAGTTCATCTTCTGAATCTGATTTGGATTTGTAACAAGTAGCTGTAAGTTTTATATTAATATTTTTATTCATCTATTTAACATACCTTAGACGGTTTTAAAAAACTCTTTTTCTCTTTTGTAATTTTTAAAAATTAAAAAAAATGTGAATTTTTTAAAACCCTTTTTAATGTAGGCCAGTCAGTTCTAATATAGTGTGTGATAAAAGAGGTCACTTTTGTTTACATACACATAACACTTTATAACACTGAAATAATTCATTTATTTTTTACAATTATTCAAAGTAATTTTTCAATTAATCTTGAGCACGCCCATGGAGTGGTCGGAGAGTACCATGTTAAAATTATGCTAATTACTCTCTCGTTCATAAAAATAAACTATAGGAATCGAATACTTATCCGAGAACCGAAACCTCGAGTATAAAACCCTTTTACATACAAATACAAGGAAACAACAAACAGACTACCGAGTCTTTACGTGAGGTGCACTCGGAAGCTTATATTAATAATTATGCGTTGTTCCGGTTTTTAGTTTCCTAACTTGACAAATTCCCAGAACCAAGCGGTCGGGATCACAATGGATTTGGATTCATTTATTATTGTATTATTAGCTTTTATGAGATCATTTTTTATTGTAAAGTACCGCTTAGGTATCATTTAAGAATAAATACTGCGAGAGAATACAAATATTTGACATGGGCGTGGGCTGTGTTCAATATGCGTTATTATTGAAAAATGTGTACTTGGACTAGGTTGGACCATACGTGGGCTGCGCGTGGGATGTGCATGGGCTGTGGTCAATTTGCGGCGGGCCTAAGCATTAATAAAATGAATTTAATGTTTTCAACAACACTTTTTAGTGAATTTAAAAGTACTACTAAGGGTACGTTTTTGTTGGAGCTGCGATAAACGATAAGAGCCGCGACAAGTTATTTTCAATCAAACTAATTAATTGAAAATATTACTTAAAATGAGTGATTCTGAAGAAGAAATACTTTCAACTTGACTACAATAATTATCGTCCGATTAGCTTGCTGCCAGTAGTTGCCAAAGTTAGGGAAGCCATTATTTCCAAATTCCTTCTCCAGGAACATGTTATTCCAACACAACAACATGGATTTGCCTCTGGTCGTCCTACTCTAACCAATTTCCTACATTATGTTAACGACTGGACGTCAACCCTTAACAGTTCGCAGCCGATCGACTTTATTTATCTAGATTTCTTTAAAGCCTTTGACCGTGTACCTAAGCGCAGACTTCTACATAAGCTAGAACATTTCTGAGTTCGCGGTTCTTTACTTCATTGGATAGATGATTTCCTGACAGATCGATATTACAAAGCTGGAGTTAGCGAATCTTTCTCACAGGACAGGTTAGTGGAAAGAGGAATGCCTTAGGGTTCTTACGGTTTACACCAGCGACGTTCCTTATTATGTCTCAAGTAAAACATCGTTCTACGCTGATGACACAAAAATATATGCCAATCCAATCACAAACCAGCTAACCCTCCAAATGGACTTGGACTCTATTTTAACTTGGTATTACCAGTGGTTACAACCCTTAAATGCAGAAAAATGTGTAATGCTTCGAATTGGTAAAAATAACCCACTTGTGCAGTACTTTATTAAAGGGCAGCCATTAGATTCTGTGTTTTCGTATAACAATCTTGGTGTTATCGTAAACATCAGTCTAACTTGGTCCGACCATATTACCTCTATTTGTAAACGTGTGAACTCCAAACTGTATCTTATTCGGAGGTGTTTTTCGAGAGTTTCAATTGCAATCATTCTGTAAACTTCTAAAGGACCTTCTTATGCACAAAGACCTAATCACAACTTTTAAAATACTAAAATTCAATTCTTCCAATAAAATGTTTAAAATATGTTTTTTTAAATGTGTACTCTACAACAACCCAAATACCCAGCGCGATTTGGGTCTTTCCCAACTCTCCAACTGTTGGCACTTCTTTCTCAATTATTTGCTCGTTTTCTTGAAATATTTCAGGATCTAAATCATATTCAAAGTCAACATATTCTACCCAATCTTCATTCGATTTTGAGCTACCAAAAGTTTCTTTTCGTTTCTTAATCCTCTTCGCTTTTTGAATTTTTGCTTCTTTTTTCTTTCTGTGTTCTTCCTCTTTTGTTTGTTTTTCTATTTGTATGTTCTTCAATCTATTTTCTTCTGTAAGTTTATTCAGAACTTCTTCGGAAGTAACGAATTCTGCCCCTGCAGCTACTTTTTTTCTTTTTGAGCCCGAAGGACTTTGCTTATTTGTATGTTTAACAGTGTCCTAAAAACTTATTTTTTAAGAACTACTACTTGGAGTTGCACCAGAAATATTTGTTGTATGGTTTCCACAATCTGGTCTTTATTTACCGACTGATCAATATTGCCGGCGGTAATAGCATCCATTAGTATTTGCGGTTTCAGCTGCAACTATTGTTTGGTCTTCTAAACTCTTTTGTTCTTTCCATCTTTTTAGGCTTTCAGAGTGGTATTTTTCCTCTGGTATGACATGACGGTTAAATGGATATATACCAGCTTTTCTAAACTCGTTTTTGATAATTTCTACGCTTACGTTTTTCAATGTAGTGCCTATCGTCAGAGAAAACTCTTTGTTTGGAATTTTAAGCCCAGTATTATGTATCTGCCAGGTTACGAGTGGTAGGTCCCAATCGTCTTTTAGAGGCTAAATACAAAGGCTGCAGAAGGTGGCTGGTATGAGGAGAAAGTTCGATGATTATGATATCATTCTGTCATACTAATTCAACTAGTTCAATACTAATATGGGTACTATGACGTCATATATCCACAGTACCGGCCTATTTTGTAACGTTCCAACGAACATTCATTGGACGTCAATCTATGACGTGCCAACAAATATTCATTGGGTGCCAATTTGTAACCCTTCGAGGCTCAATTTGTAACATCCCAACGTTGAGCTGCTGTTGTCAACCTGTAACCGCAAACCTTAGTTTGCTGCTACAACCTGACTAACCATCACTAACAACGTTGGAGTGACAAATCGTTTCCCGTTGGCACCAATTTTTAACGTCATAACCCCTAATGTATCAATTACAAAATTGCTACATTAGACGTTATACGAAACACTCCCTGGCTAGCTCACTCAGGACGTGAATATGGCCTACTCTGGAGCAACACACACAAACAAGTAAAAAGAAGAAACAATACACAGTTAAATTAACACATGTTTATTAAAATATAAAAGAAAACAGAAAAATAAATGTTAAGTATCGTATTGAATTTAAATAAAAATTATTCGACTTCTTGCTACAGTGTTACATTAGGTATATGAAAGAACAATTTTTGTCACCAAATCCTAAGTCTTATCCTGATCTTTTCTGCTCTGGTTGTTAGCAAGCCATGTTGTTAGTTTTGGATTTTCTTGTCCGCGAGTCAACTCTCCTAATGGAATGATGGTTCCATTCTCAGGCCGGTTGGTCTTCTGGATGTTAATAGAATTTGACCCGCACCTGAGAAATGTATCCGGAGGTTGACTAAAATGAAGAAAAACCACACTGTTTAGAAAATGGTGAAACCAAAATGAGAGACCTTGCTTGGGGGATGAATAAGGTGACCAATCAAATTTAACAAAATTTTATCATTATTCACCCAAGCAAGTCGAGAAACAATTCTTATTTATGTACTTATCATAGGCAAATAAGTAAAAGTAAGGATATATATAACTTTAATGCAAATGGTAATTACTTTTTTAAAACTGAAATATTCTAATATTAATTAAAAAAAAATGACAAGATATATTTAGTAAAAGCTAGATAATTTAGAAACATTGCTATATAGAAATGGTATGTTTGTCAAAAGTTAATTATTATTAAAATCAAAGATATTATGGATTTAAAATTCATATTTAAAGACTATAAAAATATTCGTAAAACTTTTATACACTATATTAAGAAACTATATATTTCTTATCGCTAGTTTTTTATATAAAATAAAAAACATAAAAAATCCACAAAATATGTACCTACTTACATGTCATTCATAAATAATGAGCTTAGAATTTTTAAAGTTAAAATTATAAAAAGATTTTTATAACACAGGTGGAATTAGGAAATCGATAAAATATATTATACACTTACCTCCAAATCTGGAGACGACACAACAATTGGTTATTCTACTCTTAGAGAAGTCATGAAGAAAATCGACATTTTAGAAAATCGATGAAATGTCGAGAGTCTTATATCGACTTTTGTATCGAACGGGAAGGAGAAATATGTCGACAGAGAATAAAGATGGGACCTCTCGTTCCAAAGTAACAGAAATAGAGATGAAAATAAAATTCACTCTTTAGAAACTTGAGTAAAAGATAAAAATGATGATTATTAAGAAAATAGGAGAGGTAGATACTAATATATATATATATATATATATATATATATATATATATATATATATATATATTATATATATATATAAAGAAGATAGATTTGGACGCCAACTGGTTTTTATACCAAATACCAGTAAAAATGAAAAGAGAATAATGAATCAATTAAGTAACGACATAATTCTGATACAATCTATATCCGAGAAAATATATAGAAAAATAAGAGATACAATGGAGGATATAGAAGAATATGAATTATGACAGAAGATACGGAAATTGGAGAATATAATTAACGAAATATATTAACATAAGAAAGAAAGCAGGCAATGTAGCAGTTATAACGCTACAATTTTCTCCTAATGCGGGAATATAAAGTTTTTTTTTATATAATTAAAAAATACGTCACTCTCCATCCATCGATTGGGACTGGTTGCATAAGCAGTTCCCGGAAATGATGTTCTTGTTATCTGGCAGTCAGGAATCACAAATATTTTTTCCTTGAATACGATTAGTGGTGCTGCCTTAGACCCTGATGCAGACACTGTTGAGAGAACCGTGGTGTTTTCTCTTCCTGGACCGGAAGTAGTTCTGAAACTTGGTTTACCTTTAGGTCCCACGACTTTTTTTAGTTTTTTTTGGGGTCATGAGAAATGGATGTTTCGTCTATATTCCACACGAGTTGCGGCCTGTCCTCTAATTTTAGCTGAACTAAAGTTTTTTTGAGAATATCAAAATATTCTTGGATGATGTCATTTTTTTTCTTGAGTACTCTAAAGCTTGGGGTATTTTATGCTAAGTTGACGTCTATTAAAACTCCCAAACCACTCATTCCCAGGAGTGTTATCCTTAAATGGAGTTTTTGTCATTTTTGGTGACAAATTCGCGAACAATCTCTAGCTAGTAGTTCCAATCTGGATATTCCAAATCCCCACTGCTCCATGGTTTTTAGTCCTTGGGCCAATCTAGACTTATCTTGGAGTGGAATCGCTGGAGCCCTCCCTTGAGATTTGCAATTAACTCCTCGAGCACCAGTCACTTGGTAGAATGTTTTATGAATATTATACAATTTACGTGCCCGGTATATCGAACAAACCCCTCTCTTAAGTATATTTGGTTGCTTGATCCAACTTCCGTTATAGTGTCTCAACATGGTCAATCTAGAATTAAAATTTAAAAGATAGTTTTGCAAGTTCACAAAGTTGCCCCAGTACACGAGGTCACATTTACCCCAGTACGAAATATAAACGAGGTAAGTGTGACCTAAGTCATAATTCAGTTAAAAATTAAAATTGGCAATTTTTTTAATACATACAACTTAATATAGTTGTTAAACAATCCTGCATACAATAAAATATTTACTTACCATCTAATACTCGCTTCTCACAAAATTTGTAAACAAAGTTAATTCGTACTAACATACGCCAATGGTCAAATATCAAATTACTTGTTTTCTACAAACTGCGTATTCACAATCACACTTCCCCGGGTTTACCTTGTAGCATTTGCAAATTCTTTGAAATATATTGAAATCCCCTCGTATTTGCTAAAGTATCGAAGAATGATTTCAGTGTATTTCTCTTTACTTTCGTAAAAGTTAAAATAGCCAAAAGTGTTTTCAATCATTTTATTTGCATTGCTAGATGTTAATGTAAACCATTTTATAGTTGTTTATATTTCGCACTTACGTATGTTCCTCGATATTTCTTTGTTCAAACCGCCCGATACTGCGTTTTCAAATTAATAATTCGTGCGTTTCAATTCCCGTCTGTGTTTTGTTTATACCCAGCGTTTTGTTTATACCAAGTTATATGAATTAATTTTAAAAATAATTTCATCACTCTCGCTGAGCCGCGGTCAAGGGCGGTGGGCTTCAGCCTTTTGTCCAAATTCACGTCGAATTTGTAAAGTTTTCTGTTTTTGCTTCTTTTCATGGAAATCTTCGTTTTATGTTATGGAAAATAATTTTAGTAGAAGTTAATAGTAGCAATTTAATGTGTATGCAGTCTAATTCCACATGTTCCTGTGTTTTAAGAGGCAGAGTCTCAAGTTTTGTGTTCAGTGCAGACTTGAACCTCAAATAGTCAGTCTTATCGCAGTATTTTTTGTTCCCGTAATAGTTTCAGTTATGGGTTCAGAAATTTAAAGTTAAACAGTGAAATTCAGGTAACTTTTTAAGTGATTAAATTTTAAAGTAAAGACAGACATTTTTTTTAATAATATTTGGCTTTCGTTAAAATTAAAAAATGTTAAATTTTAGGGTTTGACTTTAGTTGTCATTTTAATTTTTCTGTTTTAAATTTAATGTTAATATAAGACAGCTCGCTTTATTATTTTATGATATTCATTTGTTTTGTTTTAAAAAAAAGGTTAACCTCCATGCAGTAACAATTTTGAAAGTTTATGTAGCAATTCCCCATTGTAAACAGATAGTATACATGTAAGTTTTTTTTTTCTATTTTGTGACTATTAATATATTTTTATATTATCTATATTGTAACTGTTTGTGGCCAGACACAATAAATGTTATATTATATTATATTTTTTTAACATTTTGTTTATTTTTTTTAACTAACCTTTTTTTGAGTTTCATTTGAAAAAGATATGTTTTGCATTTCTAATAATTATTTCCTAGTTACAACTAGCTGTTGTAATGGTTATAATTTTTCACCTCGAAGCGGCATCCTTTTTAAATTGCTAGAGGTGCTTCCTTCCTGTTTTTTGTTTTGTTTGTCCCAAGAGATTCATGGTAGTACCCATCTGTTTTTTATTTTTTTTTGTAGTTGCCCCAATCCCACCCCTTGTCATTTACTTATCCACGATCCCCCGCTCTCCTAACAAACCCTTAGTGCCGTTTTCATACGTTTCGATTTATTTTGCTTGCCCTATCTCTACCCCCATAATTTCTGTCCCCAATTTTTTACCCCTACTAGTAATACCCCATGTGGTAGGCAAAATATAATTCGTTACAACCTTACTGTCATAAAATAAAATTTATGCTACTTCCACAGTTTCTTCTACTCCAGCATTTCGGTTGGTCGAGAAAAAGAAATCATTTACCTAGACAATAAATATATTAATTTAATTTAGAAACATATATCGTTCAGTAAAAATATATTTACAAACACAAATTGCAATATTGGTTACCTATAAAAGTAAAAGCTAATAAAATAAACCAGATCAAATCGTACAAAAAACGGAAGTTTACGTTAATAACTATTTTATATACAGATAAAATAGATGAATTTTTCTAAAAATATTTCTAAAAAGTTATTTTTGCTTACACATGCCAACAGTTCTTAATTTTTTTTTTCTGCCGATAAAAAATATACAATTAAATTAAAGTTGATTATTAATTAAATTGACTTCATTAATTTAATTAAAGCGATATTTCTAACCCATATCACTATTATTAAATTGAACTTATTTAAATTAAATTGACAATTGTACATATTTTAATAAATAATTGTACGGTTTTAGCCTCACTTTGCGCTGTATTACTTTTACTTCAATCATTATTTGACATTGAAAACTGTTCAATTTGAATTTGAATATTCTTTTTGTGTGTTAATTTCAAATTACAAACGTAAGTTATTAATTCCACTTTTTTCGAAAAATAAAAATAGAAAAAGTACTGTTTACAAAAATTTACACAATTATTCATTAAAAATTATGATTATTATATAGAACAATGTAGTAGTGATTAAACTATTACAAATTCGGAAAGTATGTACAAAATTACTCGATAAGTCCCGAACTTAATATATAGATGGCGCCACAGATGAGAAATTTTGACAGATGAGCGTCATCTGTCAAAATTTGGGCTTAGTGGAACCAAGTTTACAAGTTACCATGTTTCTTAATGACGCTACTTTGGCAATTTTGAAATATTTTTGCATGTCTTAATAGATAAAATATTGGTTTCTAATTAAAAATATAATTCAAGCAAAGTTTACTGTTAAGTGTGTTCAATTTTTTCGCTAGTAAAAAGACGCTTTTTTTAAGATGCAGATCATAAGTTCAGTAAGAAACCTTTAGAAAAATCCATCTAATTTATATCACATTTAAACTACTCCATGTGTCAGTCATTCAATTCTATAACATCTTGTGGACGCCTCCTTTGGTTCGAAGAGGTGCTGGGTATGTTTAGGTATTGATTGTTGCCAGCAAAGTAGTTCATCTGATTCATTGGATTTAGCGGTGCGGCGTAGAGACTACAATTAAAAAACATCGATTAGTTATAATAAAATTAGTTCTGATTCATTGAAAATTAGTACTTTTTTCACTACATCGGAATCTTAACCATCGCTTGTATATTAGTACCCATCACTTAAGCAAATGAAATTAATTACTCATATTTGCTATTTTTTGTAACACTAGTATCAAAGAATATAACGCATATAGAAGGATCTTTTACTGTCATTTTTTAGCGTCGGCGAAGGTTATACACGTGTTATGGAAAAGAATCATGAGGTTGGTCAAGATTTTAGTTTCGTATTTGTACCACTAGGGAGCGGTCACGTCAGCGCTATTACTGCTTCTAAAATAGGAAAGAATTGGGCAAGAAATGCAACTTTAGATATTTTTATATGTAGATGCCGCGTGATCGTAGTATAGCATTACATTTTTGCGTTTTATAAAATTTTTTAAAGAAAATAAAACATTATTTTAAGTTTTATTAAATGAATCTTTTTAGAAAAAATATTATGAGTCAAATTTTTAATTAAATATGTACAAATCTACAAATAATATAATTAAAAAAATAATTATAATAAAACTAATTAAAGTTCATCATCGGGAGAGAAAGCTCAAAAAATTGTAAGGTGTTTCGATCAAAAAACAATTCCTGTTACAGGAATTGTTTCTAGCAGGAAGTGAGTGTACTAACAATCTGGTTAGTACATTAGAATTGCTTTTTTAGCACATACACCAAAGAATTATTTTTTAAAGTTTGAAAATTCGAAATTGTAAAGTATAATTTCGGATTTTTAAATTAAAAATATAAATAAATCTCTTTAGAGCTTTATTTTATTTTTTTTTAGCTTCTAGCTTTCTAGCTTTAGAACAAAGGGAGATGAGAAAAAAAGACAAAAATGGCTGCCAGAACATGGACCATAGCAAATCCAAGAAAACCAGATCAGCAACACTCGAGGACAAAGTGACTTTTAGAGAATACCATCACCCTCTCATAATGGAGTTGTTAAGAAACCAAGGGGCTCTAACGAGCAGACTAAGACCGTGACAAAAGTATTAAGAGTGGTGGTAGCACACAGGCACCATTATGATACTCAACTAGATCGGGCTCAAGCAAATTTGATCATTAACAAACTGGAGTAATCACTTGATGAGGCTCCTATCAAAAGTCAAAATGAACTTCTGCAGTTCCATAAAACATCGTTGAGTGAATGGACTAACGAGGTTACAAAAAAATGGACGAATGAAGTTTTCAGATGAGCATACCTCCCATATGATGATCCCGAACAACTATCAAGGGACTTGGAACATCTAGTGAGAGATTGCATGAAAAATGAACTGCATTTAATCATTGGCTATGATACAAATGCCTACCATCTAACTTGAGCAGTACAAATACCAAACTATTAAAAAATGGCATGGCTTAGATGAGATGTCTTGTTCAGACCATCGAGAAAGGCAATGAGCATTTCAAGGAAACTTATCGTAATTTCTGGTATAACAGATTGGGAAGCATATCAAGCAGACCTGGAATATTGTTTAATTAAGATTAAAGAGACGATAAGGCATACATTGAACGTAGACATGGCCGCCGTACAATTTCATTGTCATGGAAAGGTTTCATTGAACACTTTTTTAACCAGGACAATTGTTCAATGAAATAATTTCGAAAATAGTCTAAAAAGTTTAATGAAAAGTCCTGAGAAAATGAAATTTTTGGTTGAATATATTTTGAAATTTTTTTAAAATGTTTCGTAAATTTTGAGCAGGAAAACAGTACAATAAAAAATTACGTGATGGTTTTTCGTAGTGTTGGAACAAACCTATTTTTAATTTAAAGTTATCAAATTTTATTTACTTGTAATAACAAAATAATAAATACTTTGAATAGCTTAAATTTCATACCTTTTAAAGTTGTAAAATTAAAAATTTAACAATTTATTATATTAAAAATAAAGATTTTATTGTAAAAAAAAATAAAAAGAGACAGTTTGGATGTCGCAGGTGTGTATGTATAAGTTAAATAAATAGCTGCGTTCGTACTCCTTTCCCACTTCCCCCTAACTATATCTTTCATGATGGATTTAAGCAGACGGCCATAGTTTGAGTGTATCCAGTAGCCCTCTTAAGGGTTGTTTTGAAGTATAATAACCGTAGCCAAATCGTTCATTTGAACTGTCCTTCTATATGCGTCTATATTCTTTGCTAGTATGATGTACGGTTATTGTACATTATAACACTCAGTATAAAACTGAAGATTTAGGTCAAAGATTTAACTGAAATTTAATGAAGGGTAATAAAAAAATATCGAAGTTGGTGTTATACAAGGAAGTGTTATTGGTTACCTAAATTATCACTGTTTGGGACGATTATTCTAGCTAGAAAAAAGCAAGTTTTGGGGAACCAAATTATTTCACATGTAAGCGTTCTTTGTACGTTTTTTAATTGTTTCGCTTTATTATCGACACTTTGTAGACAACACGACTTTCTTTATTTTTTAATACCAGGGGTCTCGTCTAACCGACAAGACGAATCCCCAAGCTGAGGGCTGAGTCTCAATAGATCGCAGCGTGGAAACTGCTCTACCAGGTACAACACCCAGCCAGATACGTAAGTCATCTATAGACAATTCCGAGTTCCAACATCGAAAAGATTATAATACCCATGTTCGTCCGTCTATAGATCTGGTCTACTGGCAAAGATCGATCCCACCGTAAACCGATAATCTCAACGGGCTCGTGCGACAATCGACTTTCTTTGAGACTTTCGACTCTCGGAACTCCAAGAGATATTGTTGCCACCTTTGACTAGAAAGGATACGGCCTTAGAGGCGTTCAGGCACAATCCCACGGATGGTAGCTTCGCACCATTACCCGCTCGAGTAAGTGCGTCAACCAAATGTCCGAACTTGCGGTTTCTCTCGTACTGAGCAGGACTACTATCTCAACGAGATGAACCATCAGTAGGGTAAAACTAACCTATCTCACGACTGTCTAAACCTAGCTCACGTTCCCTGTCTATGGACTAACAACTAATTTGAAGAACTCAAAGTGAACAATTGCGAAAAACCTAACCTAATCTAACCTCAAAAATATATCGAAGTGACATATGTGATATATGAACTTACCTTTGGAGTTGTTGAGGGTTAAGCTTCATATTTCCTAATACTGCTTGCTGTTGCTTCTGGTAAAGATACTGCTGCTGATACAGCTTCATCATTTGTTGTTGGTACATAGATTCTTTCAATTTAGCTTGTTGCATCAGGTTGATTTCTTGAACTACGCGCTGGTACATCTGGAAATCGGACAATTTTCAAAATTTGGACATACCTCAAAATTTATTAGATAATTAAAAGAAATTTTTTCTCAAAGTTTTTAGAAAGTTACTAAACTCTGCCGATAAACTGATCATATATGTATTCCCAGTTATAGTGCTCTTCGAAGTTTAAAAAGTGTTCGATTGTACCATGTCATGTCATCAAAAAAAAAAACTATTTCTGCTGTTACAGTGGCGTGATACAACATAAATTCTTGCCTTCAAACAAATAGGTAATGCATCACGATATGTCACCTCACATGCTACTGCTTTTACGTGGATTTTTGTTCAAAAACAGCACCGTCATTACGCCTCAGCCACTATACTTACCTGACTTCGCCCCTACGGCTTTTTCCTGTTACCAAAACTGGAAAAAAGACCCTGAAAGTGTGGAGGTTTAGCAAGATTGAGAAGATAAAACCGCATCGCTGGCAGAGCTTAGGGCTATAACAAAAAGTGCCTCGAGGATTAGACAAAGCTGTTGCATAAGTATATTATATCTGATAGGGATTACTTTCGTAACTACAATACCGGGAAGTGCTGTAAAAATATAAATAGCTGCTGATGTAAAGTACTTCAAATTTCGAGAAATACAAGAAGAGATAAGATCAATTTTAGACGATTAGTAAAATAAATATTGACAGATACACAAAAACGTAGATATTTACACCAATCTCTTTTAAAATTCGTAAGGCCATCGTCTAACTTGTTAGGCTGTTTTTTCGGGCTGTTAGGCCATTGTCTTCTGAAATTAAATCTCAACGTTTCGCCAACACTAAGACTTGGCATCTTCTGGAGATGTTACTGCTTCGCTTGTAAGCTGAAACTGACCGCTTACAAGCTGGAATCACTTAAGTACAAGTAATGGAATGCCGTCAAAATCATATAAAAACTACGAATTTTGTGGTAGCAATTATTTTTTAAATTTTGTGTTATATAAAAATAAAAAAATATATTTACTCGATCTGGGTTTCCATCCAAGATTCATCATAATAAAGTCTGCGTGTTTTACTACTGTTTTTTTTTCACAGCGATTTCACAGAAATGTTAAGAATTGCGCAAACAATTTAATTATCAGAGCCGCTCTTGACCGGGTTACAAACCCTGTTTATTTATATTTGAAACTGAGGGCATCGTCTCCATACGGAGTAATCTTTTACTGGTGTCTATATTCGTTGGTATATTCACAAATACGATACAGTTTTTTCCATAGAAAGTCATTAAAAAAATCATAAAAAAAGCTCCGGGACACTGTAAGTTGTTGTACAATGTTTATACTATAAAATAGTATTATACTAAATACTCATACTCATACTAAAGGAAATACTCACCGACATATCCTGTTCTTCGATTTGAACTTGTAGCTGCTTGACAAGTGCAGGAATGATACCTTTAATCTGGTGCTCCGACCATGTGGGGTTGTCCCTTCGGACGATGTTCATCAGCGCCGAATTGATAGCTTGTGCACTCATTCCTTGGATACCGACGACACCTTTGAATATAAGAAACAATGTCAGAATGAAAAATCGCTAAATGTACTAAGTGACGTAGAAAAACGAACATCCAGTAATACTGAATTTATTACATCTAATTTTTAGAAAATCTTTGTTTATGTCGGGACAAAAAACTATCAGTTTTTCAAACATATCGATAGAATAGTTTTTGTCATGAATGTCTGTTCTTACAAAAAAGTAAGTAAGCGATAGTTGTGTTACAATTGGTATTTGATCATTGTATAATATGCTATGAAGGGATGTTTCAATATCTGTTTATGCCTAGAATGAAAAGACGAGCACATTTTCTACAGCTTAGTGAGTTTGATAGGGGGCAAATAGTGACTCGCGTAAAGCCGATTTTTCCCTTTTGGAAATATCTACAAGGGTACATATTAGTGTCAATACGGTGGTGTTGTTTTGTCGGATATTAAATCAGGAAGACGGTACACAAAGAGCTAGAGGTACAGGGCGTGTTAGAAGAATGGCCCCACATCAAGATCGCTGCTTTTGGCTTTTGTCTCCTCGGGACAGCTTCACTTACATAAGACTTAAATTGACATAAAATCAATTGCAGACCAATAGTTTCGAGAGCATGAAAGATCTATTACAATGCAAACTGTTCATTGACAGATAGATAAGTTCTGGACTACCTTCACACCATCCTCAGTTTGTCCTGACTCTCACTCCTAGGTTTGGTGCAGAGAACAGCTGAACTGGAACCTATAATGACATACCATTTTCTTGAATAATGTATCCAGATTCCCAATGAGATCCTTAATTTTCTATGAAAAGACATGGTCACCACACTGTTGGAAATATAGTATGGGGGTTATTGCTTATAAGAGGATCACCTTTGGTGTTGATCAGAGGCAAGATGAACAGAGTGCGTACATCCAGGAAGTGGTGGATCCACATGTTCTGTCTTATATACAGACGCTCCCTAACTACCTTTTCCAACAAGATACTGCGCGACCATATACAGCCAGAATTACGTTATCCAATGTTAAAGACGATTCAATCAAGACGATTTGTTGCATTGGCCCCCTAGCTCTCCGGATCTTTCACCCATCGAAAATATCTAGGATATTATGGGAAGAAGATTATGTACTTCCTTTACCTCATCCTCCACATACTCAAGCGGCACTTTGACACGAGGTACAAGTATAATGAGATACTTCTAGAGGAAATCATTAGTTGATTAATTTTTTACATTTTTTCCACTGTTTCGATTTTTCTGAAATTTTAATAAATTACTTACCTAACCCTAAAAATTGTTGTAATAATCTCAGTATTACTGGTTTATTCAGTACTTTTACATATAGTCACTTACTATATGTAAAACTCTTTGTAAAAAACACCGTATAACTTTACGAAACAATGTGCCACTGTTTAGCGAGTCACGCGACTGCGTGGTTTGCGACTTTGCCACGCGATCGAAAAAGTCCTGCAATTCAATTAATAAACAAATTGTCTACATACCCGCCACACCTTGTCCAAGGTAGCTCGAAGCTGTGGTTTTTCTGAGTACTTTCTCGTTTTCGAATTCCTCCCAAGCGGCTTTTCTCTCTTCCTCATTAAGACCTTCGGCCTCTTTGTTCTCGAGAAGCGATTGATGCAAGTGATACTTGAAGATGACGTCTTCGTATTTCTGTAGCATCTCACCCAGTAAGACATCCTAAAAAAGAAAGGTAAATATATATGATTCTGAAACTAATTTGAGGAAGATATTTTCAATTAAAATTGTTATTTAATCCCATGACTAATAGTAGATAATAAAGGTCAAGATAAAAACAACGCTCAGAACCAATACACAGTCTTTTTATGTCATGTTCTATTCCAAGTTTGTCAGATAGATCTCAAAATGTAGAACATTAAATTAATTGCAGCAAAATAGAATTGTGTAACTTGATGTCGTTTAAATAGGTAACCACTGTTGAGATTTCTTTGGTGAGAACTGTTTTGAGATTATCGTCTGTAATTCCGTGGGATCTTTTTGTTCCATGAATTGAGGACAATCAAGCAGGATATGTTTAACGGTCAGTCGATCAGAGCAATGATACTATAACAAACAAGATAAGTCAACGCGCATGTTCTTGCATCTTCTCGCACACCTGTGACGTAAACCCGAGACAACTTTAATGACGCCAAGTTAAATGCTCTATCTGTATTCATGTTAATTATGTTGCTGTGTTAATCCAGTTTGCTATCCTGAATGAGATTTTTATTTATGTAGTAAAGACTTTGTGTATTATATTGTTACATAAATTTTGTGGTGAAAACATTCAGTTTACTGTGTTAATATTGCCTAATTTGTTTATCTTCCTCTCGACTACCTGTAGCTACTTTATAAAGAAGACTAATTATTTGTTTGCCAAAATGTTATGTCCTCTAAGGAGGACACACAAGTGTAATAAATCATTTATAGGAAGTTTTATGAAGGGTAATTTTATGAACAATTTTTTTCATTCATCCAAAATGAATATGACTAAGTCAGGGCCTCTGTTAGGACAAAATAGCCAAAACTTAATTGGCTACAGTCTTTGAAACATTTATAGACACATTAGGAACTCATAAGCACTTTTAAGATAATTCGGGTTTAAAACTAAAATAAAGCAAGCTATATTTACCTTTGGTACCATAGGTAGTGGTCTATCGGTTGGTTCCAAATCACCTTTGTACAATTCTTGTAAATCGTTCTGGTTGTAATGCCTGTCGATTTGTTGTTCGTCGATGACTCTCTTCGAAATGGCTTGCTTTGTCACTTGCCTTTCGTAGATCTTCATTTCCATGGCGCCGTACGTTACAAAACGATAAATGTAGGAGGGTTTAATCTGAAAATATATTTCATTTAAAAACATTATCTATTACCTTTACCGGTTAAGTTGAATATTTTTTTATCTGCTGAATAAATTACAAATCTACAAATAATTACAAATCTATACTGGCATCAAGTGGCAAGAATAAAGGTTGAACAAGAACTGTCGGATGAAATAAATATAAAAAGAGGAGTGAGACAAGGCTGTATATTGTCGCCTTTACTTTTTAACTTATATTCGGAGGAAATATTTAAGGAAGCCTTAATGGAGACAACCGAAGGTATTATTGTGAATGGAGTAACCGTCAACAATATTAGATATGCCGACGATACCTTAGTCCTTGCCAATTGCGGAGAAGACCTTCAAAATCTAATGAACAAAATAAAACAGACTTGTGATCAGTATGGATTAAAACTCAACGTTAAGAAAACTAAATATATGATAGTTAGCAAACAAAATTATATACAGGATGACGGTATAAAAGTCGGAGATGCCACACTGGACAGAGTAGAGAAACCGTGTGATCTCGGCGGTAATATCAATGAGAGCTGGGATCCAACCGCAGAAATTAAAAGCCGAATAGAACAAGCTCGAGCTGCCTTTGTAAAAATGAGGAATGTACTTTGCAGTCACGATCTTAGCATTCACCTTAGAGTTCGTATGACATCTTGATACATCTTTCCTGTCCTGCTGTATGGAGTGGAAGCGTGGACTCTAACTGAGGCTATGCTTAAACGCTTGACAGCCTTTGAGATGTGGGTATACAGACTACTGAAAATAAGCTGGGTCGACAGAGAACTGAGGAGGTCCTTAGACGGCTGAGCTCAAAAAACACAACTGGTCAATATAATAAAGAAACGCAAGCTGGAATACTTCGGTCACATTATGAGACATCCTGAAAAATATGATCTTTTACATCTGATCATTCAGGGAAAGATCCAAGGTAATCGTGGTCCTGGTAGACGAAGAACATCATGGCTGAAAAATCTAAGGCAATGGTATGGAAAATCAACTACCTCGTTATTTAGAGCTGCTATCAATAAAGTCACGATAGCGAATATGGTAGCTAACATGATATCCAACGATCGATAACGGTCATGGAACTAAAAGAAGAAGAAGCTGAATAAATTGTACACAACTCTATTTGATAAGGAATTATTAGTTGGATGGTTAGTTATAAAATATATCGTAAACATAAGTATAATTCTATAACTACATATCATTAGTATTATCAGAAGCGGCACATTCGTTTTTCTAACTTGTTCTAAAATTTTCGACGAACTTACATAGCTCAAAGCAACCGAAGAACCCAAAATAGAACTTATAAACATTGTAACAATTAAAAAATCTTATGCTTCTCTACGCTAGAAGTCACTGTAAACTAGTCAATACATATTATAGAATGTCTGTGGATGTATACAATATCACACAACAGTAAAACGAAGCGATATTGTGGGTAGGGCGGATCCTGGAAAATTAGGTCTACAATTGTAGACGTCATAAGACAAAGGGTTAAAATTTCGATCTCTCAGAATAATATGTATTTTTATACAAGCTTAACTAACCTATAGGTACTCACCTGTCCAAATCTATACACTCTATATATACTTTGCAGATCGTGCGATGGATTCCATGAAACGTCGAATATTATCACACGATTAGCCGACACTAAGTTGATACCCAGCCCGCCAGCTTTGGTGGAGATGAGAAAGAGACGAGCTCTGGTGTTTTCGGGATTGTTGAACGAATCGCACCAGTACGCCCTATTATCACAACTGGAAGATCCGTCTAACCTAAAATAGTCTAATCCTAAGGACCAGCTACCTGTAGAAACAAAAAAAATATGTTATGAAACAGAACGAATTCCACAGTTTTTATAATAATATCAATATGTGACATATTAATTTACTAGGACTAACAAGACCTGTTCTTGTTGTAGAGCTGCTTTTATGGGAAATTGTAAATCATCAAGATAAGGTCGTAATTACCGTTAGTCTAAATCAGGGGTCTCCAAACTACGGCCTGAGGGCCACATCCGGCCCGCAGACAGATTTTGTCCGGCTCCCGGAGACATACTTGAAAACTCCTTTTAGAGAACAAATATTTTGGATAAAGAAACACAGAATGGTAATGAGTAAAGACATGTATAATTTATGCAGTAAATTTAACTTCAGCATATAATAACTAACAAATTATTGAAATGAATCCAACTAACATTTTATACATTGTAAGTAATGAACAACACATACCTTATAACAAACATGACATATGAAATGCTAATGAGATGTATGTAATTGAGATTTTCCACCGACAATAGTTTGTAGTCGTGGACTAATTTTACTTGTACCAATTATTAAAAGAGATTTAAGATGCTCGTCAGTTAATTTAGATCTGTATACATTTTTTGTGTACTTCATTTTGGAGAAGGTTTTCTCACACAAATAAGTAGTACCAAAAACGGAAAACAGCCCACGAGCAAATTTATGCAAATTATCAAATTGTGTCAGTGGAAGACTCTTATAAAATTCCAACAAAGATGAGTTTTCATATTTGTTCTTAATTATATCACTGCACTGCACATCAATCATTTCCATTTGAAGTTCCGGGGCTAGGGTTTCAATGTCAGCATCAAAAGGATTCTGAAAAATCTTAATTTGATTCGCAATGGCATCAAAGTCCGAGAAACGAGTATTAAAATTTATCTTCAAAGCACTCAAAGTTTCGATTGCAAAATCGATAGGAAACTCAGTCTCAGTAGTGTGGCTGAATATTTCACATGTTTTAAAATGTGAAAAACATTTAGAAAAACAACATAGAATGCTAACTTCCATAGCCATGCGTTGTTTTGTAATTCAGTAAGAGGGCGGTGCTTTTCATTCAAAAAAATTTCGATCACTGCTCGAAGTTCAAAAAAGCGCTGAAGGACTTTCCCACAACTAAGCCAGCGTACGGCAGTATGATAAGGTAGGTCTGTTTCTCCAATCTCTGCAATAAATTGTCGGAATTGCCAGTGATTCAACCCAAAAGATCTGATGAAATTAACAGTTGATATGACTGGTTTCAGAACGTCAGACATATCCAAACATTTTCCGCACAAAGACTGTTGATGAATGATACAATGTAAGACTACTGGTTTATCTCCTGGACCTGGACCACTCCTTTATCTTTCCCACTCATGTTTTTGCCTCCATCAGTTGTAATACATTTCAAGTTTTTCCATCGAAGGTTCTTTTTATTAATGGCCATTTCAACTCCTTTAAAAATATCGGTGCCAGTAGTTGTGCCATGAATACTATACATATCAAGAAGTTCTTCGTGCACTTCATAGCTTTTATCTACTCCTCTAATATAAATCAACACCTGAGCAGTATCTGACACATCCGTTGACTCATCCAAGGCCAAAGAAAACCACTCAACATGTCCATTTTTGTCGAACAGTTGAGAGGATATATTTTCAGCGATGTTTTCTACCCTTCGAGCCACAGTGTTTGCTGACATACTGACAGTTTTTTAATAAATTTAGCGCACATTTCTTCGACTACTGCAATTATGCATTCCTTGATCATTTCTCTATCGGTGAATGGTTTTCCACGTTTTGCAATTTCAAGAGCCACACGAAAGCTGGCACGAGTTGCCGCCTCTTGTTCAGTTTTGACTTTTGTAAATAAAGATTGCTGCGATTTCAATCCGCACTTCAAAGCTTCGAATTTTTCTGTCCGCACAATTCCTGTATATTTTGAGTAATTTTGAGAATGTTTTGTTTCATAATGACGTTTCATGTTATATTCTTTAAGAACGGCTATGCTTTCATTGCAAATCAAACATAGCGCCTTGTTACTGGACTCAATTACGAAATACTGAATGTTCCACTGATCTTTGAATTTTCTGCATTCACTATCAATTTTTCGCTTCTTTTCCATTCTACTAAATCACACACAAAAGCAACAATTCAAATCAAATCAAAATACTGTTATACGCACAAACTTGTTTTAAGGAGGTACGCCCTATTTTATTTCACAACAGTTTCATAGAAACTGACTTGTAGTTACGCCACTATTGTCATCGCTTCGTCCTCGCACTCGTCCCACTTAGGTGGGGTCTTTAGTCTCCTCCCAGTTATCAGGTGCGTAACACTTAAGTGATTTGCGGCTATTATTTTTCAGACTTCTTATTATTTTGGATAGTTAAGTGTGTTTGTGACAATTTCTAACGATGGCGTTGAAAAATAGTAGAAAGAATAATTATGTTATTAGTGGACAATCTCGGGAGAGATTGGAGATTTCCACTGGTGGAAATATTTTGTTTGTTTATGTCTACCTTGTATTAAATTAAAATATATCAAAAATAGGTGAATATTTGACATACTTAATAATGTTGACAGCTTACCACACTTACAAAAAATTAAATTATTCGTTATTTTACAAAAAATGATCCACGCTTCAGCAAAATTCTATTACACATAAAATACAGAAATATATAAAATATATAAATAATAATAAAATATAAAAAAATATATATAAAATACAGTGTTGCCATCTTGGCCCTCGGAACTTACTGGAGTAATCAGTATGGCCCTAAGGCTGGAAAGTTTGGAGACCCCTGGTCTAAATTAAACCATTTCTATCAAATTTTGCACATAAATTTGCTATGTATAAAAACACTAACCTTTATATCCTCCAACTTTTTCCGTCTGGTTTTGTTGAGTAGCTTCGTCGACTTTGGCGAGGAAATATTCTATACAGTTTAACGCGTACAACGATTGAGAAAACACTAACACTTTATCACCGATTTCCTCGCACTCTTTAAGAATTTCGAAAAGCAGCGTCAGTTTACCGCTATTTTTAATATTGTCTAATTCCTCTCCGTCACAAAACTCTTGGAACCACTCTTTGTTTTCTTCTATCACTTCTGGTTCGCTGTCTTCTTCACCATTTTCTTTCTCTGAAATTAAAGAATAGAAACGTGGTGAAAATAATTATAATTACAGAGTTTTAATTCAAAGAAGTGATTATATAACAGATATATCTTGCAATACTGCAAGCTTATTGTACCTCTACTTGTTATTTTGAGAAGATCTGCTGAGATTGTATTTTTTTATAATTAAAATAGTAAAAAATTTTTAATCCCTTTACTCCTGTTGCTGATACGCCCATGGCCATATCCGCAAATATATATGTGGCAAATTTTATTGGAATTTTACCGACTATCACGGAGTTCTCAAAGTACGAATAGGTCCTACTTATCAAAAGAGGCCGAAGTAGAGCTTTGTTAACCTTTTTCAGTTCCAGGCGGGTCCTTTTTGATAACTTTTATAAAACAGTCGTAAAAGCCCTCTATAGTATCTTTCTGAAAGAACCTAATTCAAACGGGTCTATCCTGTCTCACGGTTCCCAACTACAAGAGTCCCGTTACTTACCTAGAACCTTTCTGTTTGTTAGAAATGGAAACAGCCTGGCCTTCGGTTTGGCAAGTTGTCATTTTTGAGTGGGAGATATCCCACTTTTTTTAAGCTTGTTAAATTTTGAAAGGAAGGAGATGACTCTGGGCAGGACAGTCTTTGAGTAAAGGCGCTTGCTTATCTTACCGTTCTTTGTGAATTTTTTCTTTAAGTTTGTATACACTACTTATATCTTTGAATATCATAATCTAGTACCTTCTTCTTCTTCAAGTTCCACTCTTATCGGAGATTGGAAATCATTCTGGCAATTATAATTTTGTTGGTTCTGTGCCTGAATAGTTCAATTGAACTGCATACAAACCATTTACGAAGATTGCGTAGCCAAACGATTTTACTTCTTCCTACGCTTCTTCTGTCTTTGATTTTACACTGCATTATATTTCTTAGTAGTTCGTATTTTTCACCTCTCATGATGTGCCCCAAGTATTCCAATTTCCTGATTTTTATGGAATTTAAAATTTCGCATTGGTTTCCTAGTCGTTCGAGAACTTATTCGTTTGTTTTGCGATCCATCCATGTTTTTTTCAAAATACGTCGGTAACACCACATTCCGAATACTTCTAGGTTTTTAATGTTGGATTTTTTAAGTGTCCAAGCTTCAACCCATACAAAAGGGCAGAGAAAATAACATCGAAGCATTCTTATCCGGAGCGATATATTGATATCGCGATTACAAAAAAGTTTTCTCATTCTATTAAAAGTTGACCGTGAAATTTCAATGCGACATCTTATTTCTTTTGTCTGATCAGTATCTTCTGTGATCCATGCTCCAAGGTATTTGTACGAAGATATTTGTTCAATTTCTGTATTATCTAGTACTAGCTTAACTTTGATGTTTTGTGCTTTTGTAAATACCATGAACTTAATTTTCTTCAAAGGTTAAATATTGTTATAAAGCACCTACATTTTGATTAACTTCAGTGCTTGATACTACTAAAGTATAGTAGAATCAGTGAAATAGTGCAGCAGTCATCGAGATTTATTGCAAGTTATCGTAATCATATTACCTTCAATTATCTGGGCGATAAATATTGTAATCATACTACCCAATCCTGGACGAATCAACCATTTCTTCACCTGTAGTTAAGGTTAACTACCGATTTAGCAATTCAATTAAAAGAACATTTAATTCTTTCATACGAACTTTCAATCAGCTATTAAAAACTTCTCACAAATAATAATTAAGAACATGTAATATTCAGTAAGAACAGTTAATTAAACTAAAAACAGTGCGAGACAGACAATTAACTTAAAACCAAGTGCGGGTTGGTTTCATTTTTATACTGCAGAATTCTTGTAATCTTTTTGTATTCTTTTGAATTTAATTTTGATTAATTTTGCTATAATTGCTATCCATTTTTAAATTTACTGTATCCGTTTGTAGCGTTTACGCTACTGATTAACCCCTTAAGAAATTTTTATTACCCACCTACGATCGATTTTAAATCGACATTTCTCCACTCACGCGCTGTTATCGCTTTGAAAGGAAGATCGATTTTATGCGGAAGCGGAACGATTAGTTTTGGTCAGAACTCACACGCAGCCACGTCAACCGGTGAAATTTTTCACCTTCAAAGTGACGGAATTGGAGCAAGGAAGATAATTTGGGGAAGAATAAATTAATTCATATATAAAATAGAAATAATAATAATAATAATTAATTTTTAAAATCAATAATCTAAAGAGTTCCACATAAAAGGAAGATTTTTTTGGCGTGCTGCGACTCCATATTCCGTCACTTCACTTGAGGATATTCTCTTCAGAATATTCCCTCAAGGACTCAAGTAACTGAATCCTTAGATAGTTAGCAATTTGTGTATGTAACCCGTGGATTTTGCTGTCACCCAGAGACCAGTGACTGGTTGTGGCTTTTGTGCCCAGGATTCGTCTTTACAGCCATAAACTGATGTAGCCGTGCCAAGAGGAGTTTTTCCTATGGACTTATAGTGCTGTAAAAATAAGTTGTTTAACTATTTGACTTTTTGTATTACTATCTATTTACTGTTAACTCATCATATGCATATGATAAGGCGAATACCTTTGTGATAATTTAATTTTTGATATAATCTAATTCTAAAATATTGGGGAGAAGAAAATACATTACATGTTTTTATTGGGTTTTTAAATAGGATATACAGAGTCTGACCAAACTCACTTTTTTTTATATAATATTTTTGTTAATACAATACATTTGAGATAATACAATTTGAAATTGAGAGAGGGAAATAAATTTAATGTTTTTTTTTTAATATGATATAATGAGTATGGAACAACTCACTTTTTGGATGTAATATAATATAATTGTAATAGATTTATCGAGTTGATATCTTTATAATATTGTCATTAGTATCTCATATTAGTAGAACTATTTAAAGTTAAATTACTACCTTTTTGTGTTAAGACTTAGGCTACCCTACGGACTATTCTTGAATTTTTACTGATATTTTATACTTTATTTGGCCAGTGGTAGTGACTATTTGCTTATTGAGGGGCTATTAGGTCCTATTGTATATTTACAACATCCACTACCACTGTTATTTAGCTTTGCATTATATGTAAATTGTGTATACACATATACCTATATACATTTTTTATAAATATATTTATTGTTGCTATTTTGAGTTTTATTTCAGTTCTACTAACCAGTATATAACATAGCAAAAACAAGATTATTATTTAGTATTTTTGTATTTCAGAGTATTATCTCCAGATTCATTTGTTACTTCAAAATCTCAACTATCGTTGAGTTGGCGCCCTTCTTTTCTCTTCTTATTGTTCTCTTTCTATAAATTTATTCCCAGTGACCTTCTTTAGTTGTATCACGTTTGATATTACCAGGTCTCATTTCGTTTCTTGTCTCATTCGCTCAGTATCCTTGCTATCTGTTTATATCTTTAAAGCCACAATCCAGTGCATTGAAGCTAGCCCGAACACTCACTTGAGATTTAGTGTCTCTTTGGCCATTTAACTTTGTTCCTCTGAGCTTAGCCATATCTTTAGTATTTTCATCACCTCTCTTCCAGTTCTTCTGGAATTTGGAAGTCTTACACTTCCAAAAACCCAATACTCCCGGAGTATTGAGGTTTCACGTTATCTCGAGATAAGCCCATAAACAGCGAAGAGAGATTTATTTAACACGGTTTAGTTGCATTTTTTTAAATACTACCAGACTCTCTTCGCTGATAATTTAATTTGTGCATCATTTTATTATATTGTATCTGTAAGGGTATTTCTTGATCATAATACTGTTTATTCCTACATGTATACAACCATTTATTAATTGATGGTGCAATTTTTTAACTTGTGTTTACATTTAGCCGCCTATTTAATTGCGTTTTTGAATATATTGTTTTGTTTATCCATGAATTTTATTTCTCGACTCCTAATACGTTTCCTGATAAAAGTTTATATCTCTGAATATTTGCTTATCACATTAAATCATTATTATACCTTCGACCAGGAGAAAGATCAGGCTGATTAAGTTTCGTAGGTAAGTAGGTGGACGGAGTCCACCTAATATATTTACTATTTGTATATATAGCGTGTTGACAAAATTTATTTAATAATTAACTGTTGATATCTTTCCTTGGATTTGGTATCAGAACCTAAATAAACTCACCGGCAAAATTAACGAAACACCTTAAAATTGGGACATGTTAGATGTCTCGAATTTCCTAAACCTGTTGTCCGATTTGAGTGATTATTTTAGTATGTTATAGGTATATTATTTAAGAATATCGATGTAATAATATTGTTGCTAGACAGGTCAATGTCATTTTATACCGGGTGTAACAATCCTACTGTGTTTTTTCCTTAAAGTTCGGAACACCCTGTGGAATATTCTAGCATATATAAAATATTGAAATTAAAATTTAATTATAGCGTCAGGCTTTCTTAACATTTTCTTTTTTGATTCATTTGCTTATGTTTGATAATAAAAAAGTTAGGTACGTTAACAACTAGCCATGTTTTTCATCAATAAATCCTCATTTTCTGCTTAGTTTAATAAACAAGCCTAAAGTAGGCTATGAGAAGTTAACAATATAATACACACACCGGCAAATTTAAAGGAACCTGTTATTAATGCAATATTTCATTATATTTGTATTTTATGGACTATATCTACATAGCTTTGAAAGCTCCTTGTCACAAGAAAGTCTTAAATGTCAAATTAATTTGTTTATTTGTATTGTGTTTTACATTTTACAGTCATTCTATCTGTTCATAACAAGTACAAACTTGTATTTAATTGAGCGCATAGTAAGAAAGAGACTTAAAAAAAGCCGGTCTCAAGTCATATGTGCCAATAAAAGCTCCCAGACTCCAGAGACACCATCGTTTAGCACGACTACAATTTGGTCGAGTACATCAAAATTGGAATGATAACCACTGGAGTCAAATTCTCTTTACGGACGAGAGCCGTTTCTGTGTAAATTACATCGACGGTAGAGAAAGATTGTATCAACGCCAAGGAGAACGAAATGCCCCTTTCAATTTTACTACGACCGTACCTTTTGGTGGAGGTTCAATTATGGTGTGGGGCGGTATATGTTTGGGAGCAATAACAGAGTTAGTGGTGATTGATGATGGAGCATTAACAGCAGATAAGTATATCAGAGATATTCTCCAAGACCACGTGGTACCTTTTTCACCATAAAATGGCGAAAATTTTATTTTAATGCAGGATAATGCGAGCCCACACGTCGCAGACTGTGTAAGATATTTCTTATTACAAGTGGGTATAACAACGATGAATTGGCCAGCTTGTTCCCCAGACCTAAACCCGATAGAGGATATGTGGGACATGCTAGGCAGAAAACTTAGGGCACGGGTTCCTGCTATTCAAAACAGAGAGGAAGTCACAATTGCTTTGATTGAGGAATGGGAGAGACTGCCCAACAACTGATCGATAGCGGTATCAGAAGTATGAGAAGACGAATAACTGCAGTTGTAAGGGCTCGTAGGGGAAACACACGCTATTAAAGCCAAAAAAATGCATAAAAAACCAATTTAAGTTCAAACTGTACAATAAAGTTAATGCGTTTAAAATCCGTATTTTGTTGAGTCTGACATCTTTGTGTTTTATTTCTTCTTAAACAGGTTTTATATTGTACTACCATTGTAATATAAATTCAAAATACTTCACCAACATTCGTATTATGATATTATCTAAACAGTATATAGACTAGAGAGAAAATACTCAGATTTTATGGTTGTTCCTTTAAATATGCTGTTGAAACTAAGAAGAAAATGAGCATTTATTGATGAAAAACATAGCTAGTTGTTAACGTACCTAACTTTTTTATTATCCAACACAAGCAAATGAATCAAAAAACAAAATGTTAAGAAAGCCTGAGACTATAATTGACCTTTAATTTCAATATTTTATATATGCTAGAATATTCCACAGGGTGTTTCGAACTTCAAGTAAAAAACACAGTATGATTGTTACACCCGGTATAAAATGACATTGACCTGTCTAGCAACAATATTATTTCATTGATATTCTTAAATAATATACCTATAACATACTAAAAAAATTACTAAAATCGGACAAAAGGTTTAGGAAATTCGAGTCATCTAACATGTCCCATTTTTAAGGTGTTCCCTTAATTTTGCCGGTGAGTGTATCTTTCCTGATCTCTTTTTTTTCTGAGGTTTCTTAATTTTCCCCTTGAAACCCAAAAAGTTAAGTGGCGTCCTTTTTTTATCTTATCCTATCTTTGGTAAGATAGGATAAGATAGAAAATGATCTATCTTATCCATTTATCTTTTTGTTTATTTCTGTATCTTTTCTAATATATCTTATCCTGTCCTATCTTTACTTATTTCGTCCGTTGGACCCATTCCCGGTTCCAAAAGCTAGTTTCGAACCCACTCCTCGCTCTCCAAAGTCATCTGGGCTGTCGCCCGTAGTGTTTCCATTGGTGACCTTTCTACCAACATCAAAAAAAAGTTTCCGAGGTTACAATATGTTTAATGAGTTTAGAAGAGATTCCACTTGAAAGAAACATATTTTTATAGATGCATTTAAACAAAATTAAATCATTATAATTTACCAAATATTCCTTTTGCATAAAAGAACTTACTTTGTGCTGCTCTAGCTCTAGTGACTCTCGTCCTGGTGGATTTCTTCTTTTGATTTCCGCTTCCGGATCCGTCGCTCTCGCTACCGGATTCGGAACTAGATGAAGTACTTTTCGCAATGGAATCTTCGTCGTCGTCAATGAAGTCTCTTAACGAACCTAACGATAACAAAAGAAAAGTTAGTGGTGATATTAAAAGATTTCCTTGCACTTTAATATTTTTGCAGATACTTGCCTTCAGAATCTTCATCATCGCTTTTCTCTTTTCTCTCTATCGATTTATCTAAGAGAACCCTCGGATGTGTGCATATCCTCTGCAATTGTTGAAAATCGTTGAACAAGAACGACGTTCGGGACGAACCTTCGTTTTTGCGCGCGTATTTTTCCATGTAACACTTGTATATTTTGATCTGGACATCGGACAGTTTCAAGAAGAGGACGTATTCGTATTTTGGTGGTAAATATGGTTCTAAAACGGAATAATCTCTACGTTGGACGACGCCATCAAGGAGTTTGTGCAGCACGTGAGATCTTTTCCTGAAATAAGAAAGCAATAAACAAGTTTAACACATTGACTGCCGTAATACTAAAATAAAATCGGTCCTTTCGGACAACTTTTTTTCTTTTTCAAAGAGTAGTTTTAATATCCTCGAACACTGTTGAGCTGTTTTTTTTTGTCAAAAAAAATTTTTACATAATTTTTTTTATGTTACTTGATGAGACACCGTATGATCACGCGGCCTCAACATATAAAATTTTAACCAATGGCCTCGTGCAACAAATGCTGTGTCTCACCGACTATGGTCTGTTTTTAAACCAGGAGGAGTAATTCAAATTTTCCGCGCCATAATGCTTGTTTGTAATTGGTCGAAGCGCAGGCAAGTTTACTCCACTAAATTATGATATATTGACAATAATGACATTTGTAAAATTTTAAAATTCAAAATTTATATCGACAATTTTCTGTATTTTCTGTGTTATTTCTTACATGTTTAGATTTTTCGTTTGCATTTATATAAAAAACAGTTCTTTTCAGAACTATTTAGCGACATATTAGTGTTATTAAGATAACAATATGGATTCAATGCCAAGTACTAGTGGTAATTATTCTTCTCCACCTTAAAAACGCCGAGTAGATTTGGATCATTTATCATCAAATGAGAAATAATGTACTATAAACATGTACAAACATGAAAATTGATAATTCTGGAGTAAAAATAACAGCCACGGTAGTAAAAATAAAACAGGCAGCAGGTTAGTTTTACAGAATAGTTATTATTAAAATCAAGACTTACTAAAGTAATGTGCTAATTTTAGGTGTTGTGAATTCAACTATTTACAACAATAGAATTTGGAACAATTAAAGCAAATAAGCAGACTGGAGAAGTAAAATGTCCTAAAAATATTGAAGGTCGACCTTATATTCTTGCAACATAGGATGAAAGAGTTAAAACATCTATACGACAGATAGTACACAGCTTCATTTTCAAGAATGAAATGCTCACTTTAGGTAAAATTTTAAGTGAAATTAACAACCGCTTAGATCTTCCAAAATATGTGTCGTTCATTATTATATAAATTCTTGAAGCAAATCAATTTGAAGTAAGTACATATATCGGTATGTAAATATGGGTTAGCTACAATTATATAGTAAAATTAACTAAAACATTTTATAGATTTCATTTTTATTATCAAGTATATTATTGTTACTATTAAATATTAAGTTTTAAGTTTTTATTTGTATACTCTACTGGAATGTTGTCAAGTATTTTGTTTCAACAGATATAAGAACATGGAAAAGGAAGAAAAGGAAAAAAAATAACTATAGATTGTTTATCTTACTGTTTATACATTGGGCTGCTGACCAAAAACAAAACTTTCTTGCGCAAATATCTGAAATAGATTCAGTTTTTGCTGAAAAAAATAAATCAAGAAATTCAAAATGGTGTAGTTGTTCATTAATCTTACCAAGACATAAATGGAGAGATTTTGGAAGACCAATAAAATTATTAAATTTTTATTTTTACATTGATTCCGAATATATGTTATGCACAGAATATTATATAAATTGATTTCTGACTCTTTAAGTTGTTTTTGTAATAACTTGGACTTGGTGATATGCGATAATAGTATTTAATGTGATATTTTTCTAGCTGATATTTATAATAAATCGAGTTTAGAGTGTTTATAAATTTATAAATGTATGGTATTTATATCTAATTATCATAAGAAAAACGGCAACTATGTTTTAAATTTAGTGTATACTTGTTAAGAAGCATTTTCATTTTGTTTTCATCACAATAAAAGAACATTAGTAATGTTGTGTTTTACTTTGATTGTATTGATACAGTTGGTTTTGTTCTTCCTGTTGTAGATCATCACAAGAAAACTACAAAATTATACTAGAATGTAACATAATAGATTGAATTAGTTGATTATCTCACAGAAATCCAGTATTTTTTAGTAAATTTTATTTATTGATAACAAATGGGACAAACTCACTGTCAAAATTAAACAAGAATCCAGCATTAAAGAAATTGCAAGTACACACTTATTTATACAAATTTATTGTTTTGCATTTTAGTACTTCAAATAGATCCTTAAGATATTGATACATAAGTTAAATCTATCTAATGAGGTAACTGATTACCATGCATGAAAAATAGGACCATACCTATATTTGAACCATAATTTATTCTGTGATATGAAACATGAAAAAGTCAATTCTAAAGCAGTGAATGGGAAGGAATATGTAAAACAAACTGGCTGAAGCAATTCAGGAGATTGAATTATTAAGCTTAAAAATAATGATCAAAGTCAAAGTTAATTCGCCTGGTAAGAAAAAAAACCTAGATTCAAGAAATTAATCACACCAGAATAAGAATATGGTCTACGCAGTTTAAAAGAACAGTATTTCAGAAATCTTTGAACTCTCTCTAATTTTTTGATACATACATGCATTTGCATAGCTTTGTTGCATATAAGATCTATTTGCAAATTAGAAGACAAATATCTGAGAAAAACCATACTTAGATCTGTAACATTATTGACTCACTGGATCAAAATATTTTCTAAATTAAGTACCATCGACTCAAAAGATCTATAAAACTGGATCGCCCGATATTTAAATATATATACATGGGACCAAATGTGAAAAACGTCCTTTTTATTGTAATAATTGTAATATATATTGGAAGTGAATTAAAAAAAATATTATTCAAACATAAAGTTAGGTTAGAATTGACGTATAAGGTTGTCCGATATTGATTACTCGATTACCGCAAGGCCGAGATATACAAAAAAAAAGAAGATGTATTTGGTGACTTTTCTAGTAACTTTCTTGGGTGTGAATCTGTCTTTTTGGTTTACTCCTCCTGGTTAAAAAACAGAGTATAGTATCAACCTGCCGCCATACCGACGCAACGTGGCGGGCCGGAGCTAGCCGAACAATTATTTATCATAGTCTAATAGATTAGCTGTTATTTTAGAGGATATATATATATATATATAATATATATATATATATATATATATATATATAATATATATATATATATATATGGTACAGACAAAATCTACTAACCTCATAAGTTGAATGTCATGTTGGGTGGAATCAGTATACTGGCCGTTGGTGATTGGATTGACGAACCGATTCATATACTCCTTATACGAACCCAATAAATTCGGTTTAATGAATTGCACCATACACCAATACTCCTTTAAGTTGTTCTGCAACGGAGTACCGGTCAGAACTATCCTCTTCAAGGTTTTGATTCTGTTCATGGCGATGCTCAAGTTAGTTTTTTCGTTTTTGAGTAAGTGACCCTCGTCGCAGATCACCAGATCGGGACCTAGAAGAAGGAAGTGTATGTAGTTGATTTTAATAAAAGTTTACTTAAAATTTAAATAAAAAAGTTAATTGCATATTTTTATAGTGTGAAGAAGTTTATTTGAAAAAACGAAATAAAGAAGTACATTTATTGAAAAATAGGGAAATCACTAAAATACCCAAAAAAATAATCAATTTATAACAACATTAATACATAAGATAAAAACAACAATTACACTTTAAATTTATCCGACAACGCTGCTGCCCACTGACTGACAGTCGTTCACTAGTTGGTCAATGACATGCACATAGCGCACTACCGTTAATTTGTTTCTCCGAAAAGGAGAAAAGTGGACAGTGAAATAACATAAGATTCGCTGATGACACCGTTATAATGGCAGAATCCCTGGAATCGCTACAAGAATTGGTAAATAGAATTAACGATTATTGCATTAGATATGGACTTCTAAACTGGTAGAAACTTTGATAAACGAATAGCAGAACATAAAAGGGCTTTCAATAATAGAAAAACAGATTCGACATACGCACTTCACCTTCTAGATCATAATCATTCTTTTAATGACAAATTTAAAATTCTTCACATTCAAAATAAAGGCCTTAAGCTATCTTTGTTAGAATCTATGGAAATCAACAAATTAAAAAACACAGATATAATTCTGAATGACCAACTTGAGACAAACAGTTCTCCCCTCCTCAACCTATTTCATTAGAGACTATAAATTTGTAAACCCAAGCTAAAAATAGATCACTTGAGAAAGGCAATTAGCCGAAACAGCTGTAGTGATAAGATTTAAAATAAATTTTGTGGAAGTTTGAAAACAAAGTTTTCAGTGTTTTATTGTTACAAAAAATTCATTCTTTTTTAACTATTCTTGAATATAATAAAAATAAGGAACACTCCGAAGAAGACATTGCAGTGTTCGTAAAATTTCTGGGCGATCTTAGGAACGAATTTGCTTCAAAATTCCAAGACTTTGCACAGGTAAGCAAACTATCTTCATTTCTAAAATCACCATTTGAAGTTAATGCAGCGGCAAAATGTACAGATGTGGCTGCTAAGCTGTTTAACTTGACAAACGCATTACTTCAAATGGAGATTATTGAATTATAAGATTTATCCTTGTTCATTTATAAATCGAAGAATTTATGAAAATTGCAAATAACTTGCAATCAATTTGGCACTCCCACCATTTTTATTCATTTTTTCAAATTTGACCATTTTCAAAGTTTTTTTTTGTATAATATAAAAACGGTTTGATCTAATAAAAATTCCTTCGTTTATTCACTAGCCAGAGGTACAAACTACAAGAAAATTTTCAATTTTTTGATTTCAGATGACGCTAGACCTAGATATCATGTCCACAGCAAGAAAAAGGCTGTTGGCGAAAAATTACTGTGAAATTAACAAAAATGAATATTTTTGGCTGAAATTCTTTTTTCAGAATACTTTAAGTTATACTTTTATATGTCTTAATCACAAATAAAAACAATTTTTAGTTTTTGAGATATAATTTTTTAAAAAGTCGTTTTTTAATACTCTCACGACCTATGCAAGTCCTTAATTTTTAGTTTTTTTTTTAAATCAAAACATTCAACAAATATAACTCGTCCAGATAAAGAAACGGTCTATAAAGGGCTGCTGGTGGTCATGCTTTTTCGCTCACACTAAGACTCAGGCTCACACATATATAAGGCGTTCTTGTTTTCTCATTCACGCTCACGTTCAGATAGCCGTTGCCATTTACAGTTTGTTTCTTTATCTGGACGAGTTCTACTTACGCCTTACTTCACAGACGTTTTTCTTTTCAGATTTAATGCTGCTCCAGTTACTCCAATATTAATTAAAATGTCTTTTGAAGACGATAAAAAAACATTGTGGGACTTTTTCACAAAACTGGATGAGGGATGGAGTACAAGATGCTCTTCATGCCCAAAAAAATTGTTGATTAGCAACCGCTCAAGAACAGGCTTAAAAGGACATCTGAAAAAGATACACAACGTGTATCATGATACGTGACCTTAAAACCCACCAGCGTAGAGGCCGAAAGAGTGTTCTTCGAAACCGGCTATATGTGGAGATCTGTGCGAAGTGGGTTAGGCGATAAGACGATAGATAAAATATTTTTTTAAAGGTCTCACTTCCAAAAAACTAAATAATTCATGTTTCTGTTGTTTAGAAGCAACTGGAAAATTCAAGCAAGGGACAGAACAGAATGGCGTAGAAAGCTTGAGAAGGTCGAGGCCCTCTAAGGGCTGTAGCACCAAGATGATGATGATGATGTTGTTTAGAAATTTAGAATACAGACTGATTTTTAACATGATATCCAAAAAAAACTTGTCCTCAGTAAGCTATGGAAGAAAAACATTACTTAACTTCTGTCAGCTCAAAATTGCCATCAATGAAATTTGCTTCAAATGAACTACTCTTACAACAGATAAGTTCATTTGGATAAAATTTCATTCGTGACAATTCTCAGCCGACACAAGCAAAGCCCTATGTTTCACTGCCACGGCTTACTGAGTACGAGTTTTTTGATTATATACACCTAAGATAATTTTTATTTTGAGTTTTTATTCTATTAATTTGTATTAAAAAGCTGAAATGCGAAACCACGTCGAGATTTCGACGCTGTTCTTCTTCTTATTTTTTTTGCGCACTCCACGGAATTCTTATAGGAAAAGGGGCCAACGCTATTGTGTTTGACACAATCTTTTAGTTTAGCCGATCGAAAAATTCTACCGATTCGACGCTATTCTTTTCTAATTGATGACATTGTACGCGTTGTTAATCTGAGTACAGTTTCAGATGGCATCCAACAATGTTCTGGGGTCAAAATATGACCGCCGCTTATTTGTTAGTTTATATTTTATTCTTACTTAGTTCTTATTTAGTATATCTAGCTTCTCATGTCTATTCTTTATACTTATACTTTTAGCTGTTCTTAAAAACATTCGTTTTTGGAGCGGGAGAATGTTTGGGAAAGTATGCATTTTTACATTTAATATTTTTTCTGGTACGGTTCTGTAATATGATCTAACTTAGGGTTGTATTCTAAAGAACTTTTAAAATATATTATTTCCTGTTCACTCATAAATCTTAAACTGGATATCTCATTTATGATGTTGTAAATACGGAGAATTTGGCTTCTCTTTTTATGGTTCAAAAACATACACACAAGTTTAAAGTGTCGTGTTACCGTCACAATTAGCTAAGATTATCGGGAAGGTCGCCATACAATGGAAAGATTTATAGGTAGACCCTTCCGGACCACACCGCTTCGAGGGTCCTTAACTCTGACCATATTAACGCATTCTCAATTGGCCACTTCTTCGTCAGACAACGATCGATCGACACGCATATAGTTCCGGACGGTTCTCGTGCTAAGCCTCGGGACGGCGACGCCAGCGTCGTTACCACCGACCGACTCTTCAGCCTGGTACGAATTCATCAATAGAACCAAAGGGTAAGTCTATTCTTGTATAAAACATTGATAATGAGTAAACCAGTTTATTTCTAATTTATTTTTACATTTACAATTTATAATTGCTATTTTCACCAATTTTATGTATCACCAATATCACATTTTTCAATATAATTTAAATATTATTATTTATTCAATATAATTTAAACCAGCGACTTCTCAAGTTTAATCATTAAACATTAAGTAATAAATGAACAAAAAAAAAACATTAAAATCGTGTTTTTATTTTGATTCCACATTTTGCTGGATCCAGCTGGATTCAGGCAAATTTTGCAAAAATTCAGCTGGACTGAAAATGCTGCTAGATTGCAATCCCTAATTCCTTCCCCAAGTTAAAAGTTATAATTAATTTAAAAAACAAAAACAACATTGTACTAACCTGGATCCACGAGTCCTTCTAAAAACGTCGTCCTCATCTTCTTGGTCAGTTTTTTATTGGTAGGATTACTCAAGAGTCTAAAAAGATTGTATCCGATAATTAGAACACCTCCGTCTTCATGCCAATTTTGTACGACGTACTGTCTTTCGTAGTTCTTTTTCGACGTCGCCAGTTCGTACACTTCGACTGCCGAATTACTAGGCATCCACTTTTTGTATTCCGACTTCCAGTTTAGGACGGTATTGATGGGGCATACCACCAGAACTTTTTCTACCTTCGTCTTTTTGCTGTGGTTCAGAAGTGTATGTGTCAATGATACGACCTAAAACGACAAAACTAAAGATAACACTGGCAAATGGATTTCCTCATCTGGTTTCTAATTATAAATATAAGTTTTTGGCCTAGTGCGGCTTTCATCTTAAAGAATTACCTTAAGCAATTACAGAAATACATGACAATGTAAATAAATTGAACCATGATTTTCATTAGTCTTATAATATCTACGAGAATTGGCGAAAAAACACTTAGTGATATAGCCAGAAAAACAGACATACGAAACAGATGAAAAATGAACAATATAGATGGGTAAAAAAGTAGAGCAAGATTACAACATTCATATAAACAAAAAGTGTGGTCATGAGTCAAGACGCTACGAGTGTCGGTGTTAAAAAAAAGTGATTTACATTCAAAGTAATGTGTTAGTTCTGATATGAGTAATAAACGTTTTATTTACTCTGTTGTTAAATATTCGGTCTTTTCTAGGTTTATTTCCAGTCCATTTTTTGTGTATTCATTTTCTAATTTTCGGAGCATATAGCACAGATCTTCACCTTGAGCCGTTACCACTTGGTCATCTGCAAAGCTTAATGTGTACAAGAAGTTGTCCCGGATTGGTATTCCCATCTCTTCACATTTCCTTTTCCATGGTTTTAATATTTGTTCGTGGAATATCTTGAACAGTGTCGAAGATGTAGAGTATCCCTGCAATAAGCCTTTTGTGGTCTTCAATTCGTTAGAGTATTTATTGCCGGTTTTACCTTGTTGTTGTTGTAAAGGTTTTTTAAGGCTTAGTAAATCTTCCTGTCGTGAACCCCGCCTGATCTCCGATTTTATTTGAGATAGATTTTTCCAGTTTTTCTTTCAGTATTTTTCCATATAACTTGCCCATACATGCTATCACACTGGTGCCTCTGTAGTTCCCGCATTTCTTCTTATCTCCCTTTTATGTATCGAGATTATATATGCTTTGGACCATTCATCTGGTATTTCGTTCAGGTTTATAGCGTTACTAAACATTTCGTGTATAATTCTGTAATTAACGATTCCTCCCAGTCCCCTTGATTTTTTGTTCTTTAAAGTCTTTATGGCATTCTTTACTTCGATTAATGTTATCTCAATCTGTTCTTCATTCTGATTTTGTTGTTGTTCATGTTCTGTGTCTGTCTCTATGAAATCTGGACGGTTTTCTGTGAGTAGTTCTTTATAGTAGTCTTCCCACTCTTTTTCTGATATGTATTGTATTTGGACCTTTTCGTTGTTATTTCTCCTTAAAGATTTCAGTATTTTCCAGGATTTCGAATTTCATGTTCCTCCTATGTATTGTTCAATTTGTGCACATGTTTCTTCCCATTCTTCATTCTTTTCTTTTGCCCTTCTTCGTTTTACTTCTCTGTTTTTCTCTTTGTACTTCTGTGTGTCATGTGGGGATGGGTTATAATACTTTTCATATATAGAATTTTCTTCTCAATCCATTTTTTTGTATTTCTTTTCTCAAGTTTCCCCAAAGCTTCTAATGCCGCCTTTTTATGCTTTGTTTGACGTGTTCGTACGTACGTGTGTCGTACGTGTTGGTACGTTTCGTTGACGTTTCTGAAACCGAAATCCTGTAACTTTTGGTCCAGTCTTTTCTGGTATTTCTGGGCCCTTATGGATTCCTCTTCAAGTAAATTTACGTTGAACTTCATTTCTTATTCTTTCTGTTCATTTTCTGCTTGGTCTTCTTCGTGTTCTTCCTTCTTTCTAGTTTGGGTGTTCAACGTGTAGGGAAACCCCATTTGCGAAATTATTAATCGGTGGGCAGTGCCACATTCGACTCCTCTCTTTACTCGTGTATCTCTAATTTTGATAGTACTATTTTTGCTTATGTCTGAAAAAGCCGTTAGTAATTATAAGATTTTTCAGTTCGCACAGGTCAATTAGTCTTTCTCCATTATCGTTTGTCACATCTTCTCCAAAACAGCCTATCGTGCTATCATTTTGTCGTTTCCCTGTTGTTCCATTTAGGTTCCCTGCTATTATTATTTCTTGTGTTGGTCTCACTTTTCCGATATATTCTTGTAAGGTATCCATGAACTGATCCTTTTCTGTTACCAGACTGTTATCGGTAGGGCCGTATACTCCCAGTATCACGATTTGCCTGTCATAGATTTCCATGATGAGTTTTACTATTCGTTCATTTATGTGTTCCCATATTTTTTATCCATTTTTTCTTGACTAGTATCCCCACTCCGACAGCTGCTCTTTCTTCCTTCTTTTTCCCACTCCAACAGTAGAAGATGTCATCTACAAATTGTGTACAATTTCCCTTTTTCTTGGTCTCAGTTGTTACCAAAATATCAAGGTTGATCCTCTTAAATTCCTCTATCACCTCCTTGTCCTGAGTTCGCCATCCTTTGATGTTCCTACACGTGATTCTTGTACTTTCGCTCTTTGTTGTTTTTACATGTGCCATGATGCTAAAGCCTGACGCCAAAACCCCCACTTTGGAGGACCTGCATTTTCAGCCGCCCACTCTGGATCAGACGCTGCTTGATTTTATACAAACCCTAAAATCCGGGGTCGCCACTTCCGCCATCCTCGCCGTACCGAATGTCTCCCTCTCCGCCGTGACTGCCGTTCACGACGGAGGTAGTATCATTAAATGTTATCTCTTCTTCAGGGGCAGGCGGAAAAATGATTCGATTCGACAAAATTAGGTATATTTATATTTAGAGAAAAAAGCAACTTGTTTGAATTAACGGTTTTGTACTTTACGTTGAACAAACGTTGAATTTAGACCTGGGTGGTCGGAGAATGGCGATACTATTTTTGAGCAATAAACAAAAGCTTAAAAGGATTATTATTTCGCATATTTTAAAAGAAATATCTATGGCTAACGGAACTGATGCTAAAATTTATAAAGTCATAAAATTTTTTGTGAATATGGACGTCAGAGAGATCAAATATACGGGATGTCTCGAGAAAAATAAAAAAAAAATAACATGATTGAAACGTATAAGAGTTTTGACATCTTACACCACTTGATTTTTTGAGTACAAATGAAGAAAACCCATTCTTCGTGACGATAAACAATTGCCTAGTACTTTTATTACTACTCATATTGAATAAAAATCGATCCAAGCATTTTAAATCCCGTTACATATCTATTCCATGAGTACAACTGTAAATGGTTTATCAAGGATTAGTTAACGATATCAAAATCTATTTTACTGTATTTACTCACCTGCAAGGTTTTTCCCAAACCCATACAATGGGCCAATATACAACCCGATCCAGCGGAGTTCTTAATTCTTTCCAGCGATTCGAAACAAGCATCGTACATGAACTGAATACCGGAAACTTGATGAGGTTTCAAGTTTTTCACGATCTTTTTGTGGACTTCCAGTACGGGCTCCTTAGTTTTCTCGTCGTAATCCAGGACAACTTGCTCAATCGTAGCATCTTTTTTCTCTTCGAATATGCGGTTGTACTGGAAAAATGTGATTATTAAGATATGAAGATTGCTGATAACAAAAATCCACTAGAAATCATCTATATGCAAACCAGAAAGCCATAATACGAATAGATCAACAAAAATCTAAAGAAACACCTACAAATCGTTGAGTAAAACAAGGATGTGTGCTTTCCCCTTTTCTTTTTAATATGTATTCAGAAGAATTGTTTAAAGAGGCATTAGAAGACGTAAATGAAGGCATCTTTATTAACGGAGCACTTCTGAATAATCTTAGATACGCAGATGACATATACTCCTTGCGGACAGCAGAGAAGAACTACAGATCTTGGTTGATCGCATTACAAAATACTGCGAAAGGTATGGAATAGCACTGAATACAAATAAGACAAAAATCATGGTGGTAAGCAAGAACAAGATTGAGGAAGACAGTGTTTATGCTAAAGGAAAACTTTTAGGCAGGGTGCACAGATAACAGCACTTAGTTTGCAAACTAAATGAAAATGAGATAGAAGTACGGAAATAAAACGGCGTATTGAGATAGCTATAATCGTTTTCATCGTTCTTGGCGTGTGCGTGTAAAAACACTTGCAATAAGTTGTTTCATCTGTCTTTCCTTGTCTAAGCTCGATTGTTTACCTCCTCCAGTGGCGGAGCAAAATGTAGCATGTCAAACGAAATAATAGTTATAAAAGAAAATTATAAATTATTTTTCATTAAATGTCTAATAACGGAATATACGTATAAATTGAGAAGAAGTATTTTTCTAGCTTGCAGTACAATAGGACAGGATATAAAGAAAAGTACATTTCAAAAGGATTTTGAAATATACCCAAAAAAGTGTTAATTATTTAACCCACTTTAATTAAAAAATGATACAGATTTTTTAAGTTTTAAGCACTTTAGCGAATTCTGAACTGTTACAACGTACTGACCTTGATTAATTAGCTAATCAGTCAGCGTATTCACTGGAACTGTCTTCATCATTGGAATCTTCCGCCAAATCGATGATAATCCTGCTTTCATTTTCATCATATGTGACCATTTTTGCCCTGTCGTCCTGAATTAATTTTTCAGTATGGTTAACACAACTCGCCCACACTGCAAGTGTTGCCTCAGCTAATGCATCGCCCCAAACTTTTTTCACTGTTTCATCTCCACGTCAATGTTCTCCAATATGACGATCATAGTATTGTTTAGAAATGCCCCAGACCAACTCAATCGAATTATATTGACAGTGATATGGAGGCAATCTCAAAACCTGATGCCCATGTTCTTGGAGTAGCTAGTCTATAACGTACCTGGTATTGTGTGGTTTATTCTGGCGACAAAGACTTAATAGCTCTGTCTTGGCCGAATCGTCGTCAAAAATTATTTTTTTCGCTCGTAACCATTCTTGTAAGTCAAATTTTTTCCAACTGGCATTCGGTAATTTTTCTATTAAAGAGCTATGGTATGAGGCATTATCCACAATAATTAGAGATGGTTCCTCCAACATTGGTATCAGCTTTTCGGAGACCCACTTTTTAAAAGATCTTTATCCATAGAATCATGATAGTCCGCACTCTTCGATTTCATAGAAAACAGTAATCCAGCATCTTTAACAAATCCTTGCCTACTATATGCCCCTTTTAGGAATATCCATGTTTCATCTAAAAAAAACGAACTGAAGTGGGCTTGGACTTTCTCATATAATGCCTCAAAAAATACAGTCGTTTGGAGACAATACATGGTTTCTCACATAGCACTCGTCTACTATTTTCTAGTTTGTATGAAAACCCACAATTTTTCATAAGACGCCACAAACTTGTATCAGAACCGTCATATAGATGCTTGTGTCTTAATTGTGTATTTAGAACTTTAATTGTAACGTACTCTCCTTTTGCTTTCATGCCATACAGTACATTTCTAATCTCTCCTTTTATAGTATCGCTGACATTATTAGTCTTTTTTTTGTACATTACGTGACTTTCCTGGTGTAGTAAGAGCTGCCCCTGTCTTGTATTCACTCTTTATTCTTGTCACTATGCGAAGACTGATTTTCAAAGCGCCCGCTACTCGTTCATGTACCCATGATAACGAAAGCAAAGGTCCGTTATTTTCTTTTTCTTTTTTAAAATACTCCAATAAATGAACTACACATTGTCGCATTTCTCCTGTTATCGTTTTTTCCGGCATTTTTTTTTATTAAATAGAACAATTAGTTATTCACAACAAAAAATAATAAGTAAAACTGTTCGGAACAAATTCCAACAATGACTGGCTAAAATCGACTAAAACAACATAAAATATCAATGGTAATTGCTACAATTATAAACCTATTAGCCAGCTCATTCAAGATTAATGCCACAAGTCATTATTGCATTGGGTATCGAAAGAGAGAGAGAGAGAGAGATAATTTATAATAAAGTGGAATTTTTAAGGTGTCGAGAGTATTATTTTATGTAATGGAATTCCACACAGTAAGAGCTCAAACTATTAATTAATTAAAAACTGTTTACTTATAAAAACTATTTCATCAGCTACTTCAAACCTGCACAGATCAGGGCAACATGTTAAACAAACACGTCACTGCCAGCTATCTGTATTCGTAAAGAGGCCGAACTTATCACCGACACCGTATCGGCCAAACGCATCGGTGTTATTGCTACAGTACTGGGAGACGTAAGTGGTCTCTTCATTCCCTTCTCATCGCACTTTATCATGACGAACGTGACTCGCACAATTGAATTACGCATATGTGTATCAGAGAGAGACGAATATTAAAAATTCCGTAGTAGCTTATTTCAGGACACACGCCAAGAACGATGAAAACGAGTATACTAAATAACAAGCGATAACAAGCAATTAAACACGTTACAATACATGACGATATTTTCTTACCTTTTTCTGTTTTTCGGCTATACGAGCTTTTCTTTCTTTCTCCTCTGCTTCGGCCTGTTTCGTCGTTGCCGATAACGAAGCCTTGTTTAAAACCTGTAACAGAACAAACATGAAATTTCATCGAACACCTTCATCAAACAACGGTTTACCTTGCGAATATTCCTCCTCGTAGATACTTCTTCATCGCTGTCACTGCTGCTGTTTTTGGCGTTCATGATTCGTTTTCTAGCGGCCAATTTCCTGAAAAAAATATTTATATGATATTGGAGAGAATAATTAAGACCCACTTTAGACATTTAGGGGCGAAAAACTTTAACTTTCTGTACCAAGTTACCAACAATGAAATTGTTTCTATATTTTGGTATGTGTCAAACCAAACCCTGCATGCAGACCTCAACATCCCCTTCATATATGATGACGTGATTGCTGACCACTCCAGAAGATACATGAATCGCAGCGCAGACCATCCAAACCATCTCATAGACGAATTATTCAACCCCCCACTGGTTGACAAACGTCTAAAAAGACTTCGGCCAGAAGACCTAGCTGCTAGGTAAAACTCATTCTCATCATAACTCATCATAACATCAACTCATCATAAATAACAAACTCATTGAATACCTTCTCTGATTGGTCCAGTAATCAGTCGCTCCTGTTCAATGTTCACAAAACTTTACATCACGTTCAAATTCTACTAAACCTGATTTAAGTATTTCCATCAATGGTGAGGATATTTTGAGTTGTAGTGATGTGAATTTTTTAAGAGTGACTTTCGACTCTCATTTATCTTTTAAGACTCATTGTTGGAATGTATGTAAAAAACTCAATTCTAAATGTTATCAATTGAGAAATTTGGGTAGAATACTTAGTCTGCAACACATTCGTCTTTTTTTATTTTGCTGAGGTACAATCGACAATAAGTTACGGTATAACTGTCTGGGGTGGTTCTTCTAGTGTAAAGGACGTTTTCAAGGCCCAAAAACGTATTGTCAGATGTATAGCAGGTGTTCCGTATGGTTGGTCTTGTGAAAACCTATTTAGAGATTTGAATATATTAACAGTGTATGGAATTTACATTTTGGAATTATTGATACTAATTCATAAAAATAAAAGAACTTTTTTATCTAACAGTGATATTCACTCACATAACACAAGAAATAAGAGACAGTTTGTAGTACCCTATCGACATTTAGAAATAAGCAGGAAGTCATCTACTATCTGTGGTTTACTACTGTATAATCAACTTCCTCAAAAATTTAAAAACATTAATTCAACTACAGTTTTTAAAAACCAAGTCAAAGAGTACCTAGTGACCATGTGTCCCTAGGCTGCAACATAACCAAATTTATTATTATTTTAATAATATGTCTATATTGTACGTTTTTAAAGTATTGTAATGTTTTAAATATTTTTAATGTATTGTTTCCATTGTTTGTAATATTTATAATATGTAATATTTGTAATATTTATAATTTTAGTTTTGACTTTCTGTAAACCTAGTTGTAACTTACAGTCAAATAAACTATCTATCTATCTACCTATCTAGCCCGTGACGTCACATGATGCCAACACGAAATATTTAGGCGGTAGGTTTGTTCTTTTTTAGAATCACTTTGCCGAGTACACTGGCATTACAGCCACTAGACATATTTTATTATATACACGTAGAAATAATATTTAAAGATTTCTATTACTGTTAACTTAAAGAAATACACAATAATATGTTTCATTTAATTTGTATAAATGCATTATAAAGCGTTTTTATAAAGAACATTTGTTCGGAACACACTGTAACTGTAATCGAACGAAGGTGAAATTTTGGTATAAATTGGTAACACTTATTTGACAGTTGCGGTGTTGACACTTTTTGTACTTTATCTATTTAATAAAATCGGTTCTTTTTAGAACAAAATTAGTGTGTTTCATTTCAAAAATGTCACGTAAGAATTTAAATAGTCGTTGTAAAGATATGGTAATACTTTTACAATAATTGTGTGCCCTATTTGATTTAAAATGGATTCAGGATTTTTTTATACTTTGGCAACTATGTCAACTTCGATCTCTGACGTAGATAATGACGTGCAACGGTATGTAAATTAGATGAAGTATACTTACGTTGTGGTTTCCTCGTCTGAAGATTTGTTACTCTTTTTACTATTATCTGAGTTATCAGAGTCTTCAGAACTGCTGACCTGGCGCTTTGCCTTTTTCTCGGTATCCGAATCGTCTGAATCAGAAAGGACGATTTTCACTTTCTTCTTTCTGTAATAAAAATATTATATTCTTGAGGATTCTAAAACAATAAGTTAAAGAGGAAGATTGACACCAACAAAAGTAAATAAAGTTCATACCGGAAACAAATTACTTTTACATGACGTATTTCACACACTATTTGCTTAAAAAATCTCATTTTTGTAACAGTTTAATGTTTTATTGACTAAATGAGACATTTGTTCGAGTTTCTCGAAGGGATATACAAATATCTCTGCAGTTTCGATTTAAAAATGTATTTAATACACTATATGAGAAAAAACATACTTGCTTGATTCCTTTTTGGCCTTTTCTTTCTTCTTTGCAGTAAAATCGTCGTCAGAATCAGAACTATCCAACGTTATCGTTTTCTTTTTCATTTTATCTTCATCCGATTGTTCGCTATCAGAGGATTTATTTGTTACTTTCTTTACACTGATATCAGCGTCGGACTCATCACTAGATATTATATGCTTCTTCGACTTATCGTCTTCACTATCGGTCTTGTCTGATTTGTTGTTTTTTTCTTTGACTTTATCCTCATCTTCTGATTCTTCAGATGAATCCTGAAAGCAAAAGAAATTGATGTTAGAAATGTTTTGACTTTTTTGTTTTTTTTTTGTTCAAAAGCGTTTGTGAAAGTGTAAGAGAGCTACAAACTATTCTCTTGAGAATATTCTCTTCTTACATCACTAGGTATACCACGGAACAATTAATTTTCTAACGATATACTGAGATCTTATGATGCTTTACTTACTGGGTTTTTATTTTTTTTCTTCTTGTCGCCATTTTTAGAACTGCCTGAAGGTGAATCTGAGTCTGCATCTTTTTGGGATTTCTTATCTCCATCGACAGATTCCTCATCTGAATTATTGGTTGATCCTTTTTTCGCTTTCGTTTTCTTTTTAGATTCCTCCGCATCTTCTGCATCTCTTACTTTTTGGTTTTTACCTCCTTCCGGTTGGTTTTTCGAATTATTCTTATTTTTCTTTGTATCTATTTCCTCCTCGGACTCTTTGCCACTTTTTACTGTATTTTTACTCTTCTTCTTTTTCGACGTTTGAGTACTGGAATCGCTATCGTCTTCCCTTATTTTAACACTTTTTTTCGAAGATTTATCTTCGCCAGATTCCACATCTTTGTCAGTGGTAGTGGTTTTTCCAGTTTTTATGTCCTTATTTGACTGATGTTCTTCATCAGAATCGTTATCCTTTTTCCCACATTTCTTACTACCCGAGTTATCATCATTTAACTCAGCATTCAGGTCTTTGGTTGATTTTTTACTTCTGGTCGTTTTTGAAGATTCGCCTTCATCATCGGAATCGTCCGATTTTACAGTGGTTTTCGATTTTTTCTTTCTGGATTTCTCAGTGTCGCTAGAAGAATCGCCAGGGGATTTGCGGCCTCGCTTTGATTTTCTAAGCAACCTTAACTTTTCAAAACTAAAACACAAATTAAAAACAATTATTTTAACTCTTTCATTAACACGTCAATCGGTAAAAAAGGAATTTAATATCGCTTAGATGGAAAAGGTCTGATAGTTTTGATTGCTTGGACAATATCTTCGCTTAAGTTCATTCTAAGCGTTAAGCTATAAGCTAAGTTTTCATGGTCGTGAGTATGTTATATAAAATATGACAAAACAAACTTGTCTATAACTTATATGTTTATAAAGTCCGTTAAATGTAAAGAGACTGAAGGTTTGAATAATGGACTAAGAATCAAAAACTGGATTTTCATTTATACAGGGTGTTTCAAAAAAAGGTAACCCCGTCTCTAGGGTAGGTAAAAAACTGAAAAATAATTGAGGCTGAAACTACTGGCAACATTGTAATGAAATTTTATACGAATATGTTTTGGAAAGCTGATACATCCCATGAATTTGTTTTATATCTGATTCTCATAGGGGGCGCTAGTTACACGGATCGTACTAAATATTAGTCAATATAACTTTTTTTAAGAGTATAATTATTAATCAAAATTTCAAGTAAACTATAATCATTCAATTTTACACGAAAAAGGGACTCTTGGTAAAACTCGATACTGTGTACCGTTTTCGGAATATTTTGATTTGAAAATTATGAAGTAATAATTGATGCTGGTATAAATAGTTAGTAATTAAACAAAACTCACAAGAAGAAAATTAAATTAATGACTAAGAACATAAAATAAAATTCAATTACAGTAAGTGTTCAAAATGCCCTCCGTTTTCGCGAAAACACAAGTCTATTCTTTTTTCTAAAGATTCCATTAACCTTCTAAACGGTAGGGATCAGCTATGATGTCATTAAATTGACGTTGAATTCTTTCTTCCAATTCTTGGCGTGAATTTACCTCTGCAGCATAAATTTTCCTTAATATACGACCAAACTGCGTAGTCCAAAGGGTTAAAATTGCATGACCGAGGAGGCCAATGAATCGGAGCTTCTGCACCTCTACCAATCCATTGATTCCGAAAATGATTACTCAACCAATTACGACACCTTCTATCAAAGTGTGGTGGGACTCCATCGTGCATAAAAAATAAAGATCTTCGCTTGTTTAGCATTAAATCTTCTAATATCTCGAATAAGGAATTGTTTAAAAAATCAAGATACATATCACCATTTAAATTTCCAGGTAGAATATTATAACCTATTAATTTGTTATCTAAAGTTGCTGCCCAAACATTAACTTTAAATGAGTGTTGGGAATGTGATACCCTTTTGACTCAGGATTCTCATCACACCAGTAGTGTGTATTATGGGAGTTAAACATACCTTGTCGCGTAAAGGTGGTCTCGTCCGTAAAAAGAATGCATTTTAAAAAATTTGGATTGTGGGCTGTCCTTTGTTGCAATGCTTCACAAAAATCCACTCTAACCGGTAGATCATCTGGCAAGAGCTCTTGGACTTGTCTGTAATGATAAGGATGTAATTGCTGTTCTTTCAGTATCCGCCAAGTACTTGAAGAAGAAGTATTTGTTTGTCTTGCTATATTTCTTACGCTAACTGTTGGATCTTGATTAAGTAAATTTAAAATATTATTTTCTTTATTAATTGTTCTTGTTGTTCTTGGTCTACCAGAATTTATTTTATTTGGTCTCATATTCCCAGTTTCTCGACAACGTCGTTCAATTGCTCTAAATGTTTTTATACTTGGTAAGTTTCTTCTAGGAAACTTTTCTGCATAACGTGTCACAGCTGTACTAGAACATCCTAAACATTCGCCTAAGGTTAATAACATGTCAGTGTATTCAACATTTGAGTACATTTTGATTTGATTTTACAAATAAAAAAGTTTCAAAACTCTAATTATTGTTGATTTATCGTCATAACAATCAATAAATGTCAGATTTCCATGGCACACTTGGAGAAAATAGAGGTAATACCTATTAGAACTTTATCATTACTACCACCATCAATTATTACTTCAGAATTTTCAAATCAAAATCTTCCGAAAACGGTACACAGTATCGAGTTTTACCAAGAGTACCTTTTTCGTGTAAAATTGAATGATGTTTAAGTTTACTTGAAATTTTGATTAATAATTACACTCTTATTACAATGTTGCAAGTATTTTCGGCAAAATCGTAAAAAATCCGTAAAATTGTTTTTTTCTTCAACGCCCTGTATCTTGAAAACGGATGGCGTTACAAAAATTTTTTACTCAGCAAAACCCCAGTTATTTTTTAGTTTTTTACCTACCCTAGAGACGGGGTTACCTTTTTTTGAAACACCCTGTATATTTTTTGACGTTGAAACAACGTTTGATAGTAAAATCTAAAACAAAGTTTACAAAAATTTATATTATATTTAAGTAATATAACATTGTCTGATTCTGGAATTGCAGAATCGGAGAAAACTTCCATATTGGTTTGAAGAAGAGATAGATAAGATAGACAATATTAAAAATTCTTAAATACAAAGATAATAATAAAAAAGATGTCTGTGGGACTGATAAGATATCACACCCTCCGTTGTTACGTACCATGAGCTCTAACGAAACCGATATTGCTTTCTTCGGCAACGAAAAAAAATATAAATATAACGTTATATTTATTAAATCGTATCAAACAACATAATCGCAATGCATTATAATTAAACTTAAATGGAAAAACATAAACAAAACATTGAAGATACACTCAATACTTAGTTATTCAGTTTACATGTATATCATCCACCAACATAACTTTCATTGTTTCTCTCACAAACAGCTTTGAAGGATCTAACGGTACATACAGTCTGTCAAGTCTACAGTCTTCTACAAATCGTTGGATGATCTCGCTTCCTTCTGACTTTGTGACCAGTTCAACTTGGGAATGTCTAGAATCATTATTGTCAGAATTAGTGGCGTGAAAATAAGAAATATTAGGCACTGGTCACATACATGGTACATAAACACAAATACACATACACATACACCCATGTATCCCCGAAAATAGTGCGTTCGTTAAAGGAATAGGTAGAAGGCACTATGTAGAGCAAAAAAGACTTAAAACATTTTTTTCTAAATTCAACCGTTTGATCAAAGCATGAAAATACATTTTGGTATGCAAAGAGAAATGTGTCACTATATGCAGGACGAAAATCTACACGTAGACAATCACAATTTTAGTAAAACAAATAGCGGAACAACAAAAAGTATCCCTCGATTAAATGTAGAAGACATTTTAGACGCTGTGGAAAATAATCCAAATGTAAGTACACGAACGGTGGCTAAAATGGTTGGAATGTCGAAAGACATTGTCCATAGAACATTTCGGGAACAACTTTTACATCCATACTATAATCGTTTTCATCGTGCTTGGCGTGAGCGTGTAAAAACACTTGCAAGAAGTTATTTCATCTGTCTTTCCTTGTCTAAGCTCAATTCGTTTACCTCCTCCAGTGGCGGAGCAAAATGTAGCATGTCAAACGAAATAATAGTTATAAAGAAAATTATAAATTATTTTTCATTAAATTTCTAATAACGGAATATACGTATAAATTGCGAAGAAGTATTTTTCTAGCTTACAGTACAATAGAACAGGGATATAACGAAAAGTACATTTTAAAAGGATTTTGAAATATACCCAAAAAAGTGTTAATTATTTAACTCACTTTAATTAAAAAAAGGATACAGATTTTTTAAGTTTTAAGCACTTTAGCGAATTCTGAACTGTTACAACGTACTGACTTTGATTAATTAGCTAATCAGTCAGCGTCTTCACTGGAACTGTCTTCATCACTGGAATCTTCCGCCAAATCGATGATAATCCTACTTTCATTTTCATCATATGTGACCATTTTTGTCCAGTCATCCTGAATAAATTTTTCAGTATGGTTTACACAACTCGCCCACACTGCAGGTGTTGCCTCAGCTAATGCATCGCCCCAAACTTTTTTCACTGTTCCATCTCCACGTCCATGTTCTGCAATATGACGATTATCGTATTGTTTAGAAATGCCCCAGACCAACTCAATCGGATTATATTGACAGTGATATGGAGGCAATCTCAAAACCTGATGCCATGTTCTTGGAGTAGCTCGTCTATAAACGTACCAGGTATTTTGTGGTTTATTCTGGCGACAAAGACTCAATAGCTCTGTATTGCCCGAATCGTCGTCAAAAATTATTTTTTTCGCTCGTAACCATTCTTGTAAGTCCGATTTTTTCCAATTGGCATTCGGTAACTTTTCTATTGAAGAGCTATGGTATGAGGCATTATCCATAATAATTAGAGATGGTTCCTCCAACATTGGTATCAGCTTTTCGGAGACCCACTTTTTAAAAGACTCTTTATCCATAGAATCATGATAGTCTGCACTCTTCGATTTCGTAGAAAACAGTAATCCAGCATCTTTAACAAATCCTTGCTTACTTCGGGCATGTAAAACAACAAAGCGTTTACCTGTATTTTCGTGTCATTTTCTGATGCTTTTCACACAGTCATCTTGCCAAGTACGTTTATATGCCCCTTTTAGGAATATCCATGTTTCATCTAAACAAACGAACTGAAGTGGGCTTGGACTTAAAAAATTTCTCATATAATGCCTCAAAAAATACAGTCGTTTGGAGACAATACATGGTTTTTCACATAGCACTCGTCTACTATTTTCTAGTTTGTATGAAATCCCACAATTTTTCATAAGACGTCACAAACTTGTATCAGAAACCGTCATAGAGATGCTTGTTTCTTAATTGTGTATTTAGAACTTTAATTGTAACGTGCTCTCCTTTTGCTTTCATGCCATACAGTACATTTCTAATCTCTCCTTTTATAGTATCGCTGACATCATTAGTCAGCGTGTAGTAAGTTAGGTGTAGTAACAGCTGCCCTGTCTTGTATTCACTCTTTATTCTTGTCACTGTGCGAAGACTGGTTTTCAAAGCGTCCACTACTCGTTCATGTACCCATGATAACGAAAGCAAAGGTCCGTTGTTTTCTTTTTCTTTTTTAAAATACTCCAGTAAATGAACTACACATTGTCGCATTTCTCCTGTTATCGTATTTCCCGGCATTTCTTTATTAAATAGAACAATTAGATATTCACAACAAAAAATAATAAGTAAAAACTGTTCGGAATACATTCCAACAATGACTGACTAAAATCGACTAAAACAACATAAAATATCAATGGTAATTGCTACAATTATAAACCTATTAGCCAGCTCATTCAAGAACAATGCCACAAGTCATTATTGCAATGGGTTTCGGAAGAGAGAGTTAATTTATAATAAACTGGAATTTTTAAGGTGTCGAGAGTATTATTTTATGTAATGGAATTCTACACAGTAAGAGCTCAAACTATTAATCAAAAACTGTTTACTTATAAAAACTATTTCATCAGCTACTTCAAACCTGCACAGATCAGGGTAACATGTTAAAAAAAAAACATGTCACTGGCAGCTATCTGTATTCGTAAAGAGGCCGAACTTATCACCGACACCGTATCGGCCAAACGCATCGGTGTTATTGCTACAATACTGGGAGACGTGAGTGGTCTCTTCATTCCCTTCTCATCGCACTTTACCATGACGAACGTGACTCGCACAATTGAATTACGTATCTGTGTATCAGAGAGAGACAAATATTAAAAATACCGTAGTAGCTTATTTCAGGCACACGTCAAGAACGATGAAAACGAGTATACCTACTATCAGAGAGTACAAGATTTACACCAAGGTGATATTCCTCGAAGATTAACATTTTGTAGGTGGTTTCAACATAAACACGTCAGATAACCTGAATTTCCATCTAAAATGTTATTTTCACGCATGAGGCATGTTTCACGAGAAATGGTGTAAATACATTTTCATAATTGCACCAATACAATGACGGGAACCCTCATTTAATACGTAGGACAAATGTGGTTTCTTCACGACGGAGCCCCAGCACATTTTACCAGAGCTGTTAAAAATCCTTTTGATACCACTTATCCCCGTCATTGGATTGGTAGGAATGGACCCATTCTGTGACCACCGCGAAGTTCCGAATGCAATGTACTGGATTTTTATTTTTGGGGACATCTGAAATCGTTAGTTTATGATAACCGAGATGAAATCGAAACAGAAGCTGAATTGGAGAACGAATTTTTGATGCAGCAGAAACTATCCGGCATAATTTAGTTAACTATGGCATTACTAATAATTGGATTCGACGAATCAATGCCTGTGTTCGCGTAGGTAGAGGTCACTTTGAACATTAACTATAATAATTATTGTAAAATAAGTATAAGTAACTAATTTAATTTTAGTTCAGAAGTAAAAAAATACTTATAGTCCGAGCATAGTGTAAAAAAATTAATTAGAATGGTTAAACGCTGTCTGTTGTATTTAATTTCCACTTCCACTGAACTAATATACCAGTAGGCAGACTGTTAACAACCTAGAAGAACTTAATGCCACTTTTGTTACTGATCAAATAGATGGAAAAAGGAAACAGACAAAAAGACACCAAGTCAAAACATCTACCTAGGAAATTGATAAACTAAGAGAAATTGGAAAACTATGAAAGCCATTCAATGGAAAAAAGAAGTCTGGAAGTATGATGTTGAAAGAAAAGAAAGTAACGAAGTCTCGATGTTTGTGCAAAAAATAATAACAGCTACATATGATGTGCAATTATTAAATGAAGAGGACAGACGAAGTAATTTTGATAAGTTTTGGAAACACCAGTGGGAAGCCAAGAAGTTGTACGTGAAATTTTTTACCAACAAGATTCTAATAGACAGAGCTAGAGATAGGAAAGACAGTGCCTATAGATAGAAATGGTCTTATCAATATCATTTGAGAAAAGGGACATATAATATTAGATTCTGTAAAAACATGTTTTTACACACTTTATCAATTGGCGAGTGGATAACTTTAAACTGGATAAACGAAGATAAGGACTGGGCAGAAAATAAGGCAGAAGAAATCGATAATAACTTAATTGATATTGAAAACAAGTCTGGTCTACTACGTAAGAAGATAAGAAAATCAAAAGAATTTGAATACCTCCAAGAAATACATTGAATAAAAGTGGAACTACAAAAGACAGCTTTACTTGTTTTAAATCCAAGACTAACTAACAAAAAATACTGTTAATGTACAATCTTAACGTAAGTTTTCTCAAATTTTTCAACAACTTAAATTTAGGTTTGTTTAAATCCAAGAAGGACCTATGTAAGTCTTACAAGTGTGGAAATTTTGATGTAGGTGATTATATGAAATGTAGGTGTTCAACCGTTTTTCCGAATACTCCCTCATTTATTTATTAGCTAATTTCTTCCATTTGGCTGACACACAGTGTATATCATTACACATTACATATTTGTCTCATTTAGAAAATTTACTCAATTCTTATTAGGTAAAAACTCTGCACCACAAATAAACTAAAAATGTCCATCAACAAAGATAGTTTCAAAAGCTGATTGAAGTTAAGGGACAAACATATTTTGGTTAGTAGCCCAACAAAAAATATTCTAACAATTCTACCTTAATACTGCAAAACTCTCTTTGTTTCTGTTAAAGACCTCCTTCATCTTGTGACACTCATATAAAGGTAATGGAACATACACTTTGCTGTTCAGCTTCACATCATTAGGTCTGGATCTCAGTTGTACATTGGTTCTTTTAGATGTTTTTGATTTTTCATGGTCAGAATCACTAGAAGAACCATCTGACTTATCGGCTGCAGATTTTTTGTTCATTGGTTTTGATGGTCTCTTGAATTTAACCCTAAGACTTTCTTTCACTAGAAGTTTGTTTTTTTCCACTGACTTTAGTCTTTTTGATTTTCTACTACAACTGTCTGATTCAGAATCTGATATTTTAATTTCTGCTTCTTTGTCCAAATTTACAGAAACTGCGCTGTTCTTATCTTTACGTTTAGTAGAATTTTTGTCAGCTTTTGATTTATTATCAACATCTTCACTTGGTTTTTTAGAATTAGTTTTAGTGTTTTTGGTATTTGTAAGTTGTGGAACACTATTTTCTTCATCGGAACTGCTTAGGACTATAATAGAACTATCAAACTGCACTTTTCTTCGTATATTGGGATCAATCAGTTTATTTAAATCTACTAATCGAATTTTTGGAGGTTCTTTCTTAATTTTAACATCCTCATTTTTGGACTTATCATCTTTTTCAGTTCTACTGCCCTTCTCAGCACCATCACTTGCCAAAGAATCTTCTTCCACAGTTGTCTCTTCTACTACTGATTTCTCTTGAGTTGTCTTCTCTTCTTTACTTTTGTTACCTTTTGTTGCAGTTGTCTTTTCTACTGCTATTTCCTCTTGAGTTGTGGGAGAATCTTCTTTATTTTTTTTATCTTTTTCCACAGTTGTCTCTTCTACTGATGTTTCCTCTTGAGTTGTCAGAGGATCATCTTTATTTTTGTTATTTTTTTCCACAGATGTTTGTTCTACTGCTGTTTGCTCTTGAGTTGTCAGAGGATCTTCTATATTTTTGTTATTTTTTCCCACAGTTGTTTCTTCTACCGGTGTTTCCTTTGGAGAACTATCAATTAGTTTATCATTTTTCTCAGCCTCACTTTCTAGTGGGTTCTTTTTATTTTTGTCATTTCTTTTAGTGATTGGTTCTTCTGAAGTTGTAGTTTCATCTTCTGGACTATCCATGGGTTCTGGTATATCATTGGTGGAAACTGAAACAACAAAAAAAATCACTTCATAAAAATTCACAAAAAATTAACATGACTAATATTTTATTTTTTTAAATGAGTGCTTACACTTTATGTCAGTAAATATAGAATTGCAAAATACAGTACAATATGAAATATAGCTTAAATACTAATACAATATAATCAGTGGTAATCAGTTTCTGATATATGGAGATGTTCAGGTGAACCTCCTAATTAAAAACAATGACAGAAATATTCTAATAAATTTATTAGCTAAATTTAACATTAAGCATTTCATTAATGTTCCCACCAGGATAACAAACACATCTTCAACATGTATGTAAAAATTTTTTTAGTAGTTTAGACTTAAATAACATAGAAGTAGTTGACTCAGAAGAGGAGACGAGAAGAAAAACAAATACTTAAAAAAAGAAGAAAGAGCATGTAGAGAGCCAACTAAAAGAATTAGAGAACTATAAGGCACAAGCAGAAACGCAAAAGTTCTACAAGAGGATTAACCAGGGCAGGAAATAATTCAAACCTAGATTATCAATTGTTAGAAATAGGACAGGGAAGATCATTGGTGATCAGGACCAGATACTAGAAAGATGGGCAGAAAACTTCAAGGCAAAGCTAAATATAAGAGGTGAGAGAGGGCTCCACGAATCAGAAATCCAACTCAAGGACATTGGCGATGAAAGAGAGAAAGATAACATCCCAACAGAGGTAGAAGTCATCAAAGCTATACAAAAATTGAAAGAAAACAAAGCTCCTGGGGCAGATGGCATTCCTTCAGAACTTTTAAAGCATGGCAAAAAAAACCTGACATACTGTATAGGTAGACTGGTAGAACTGATCTGGAAGCAAAAAAGTTGTCAGAAAACTGGAATATAGGCATAATTGTACCTATCCACAAGAAAGAAGATCAAACAATATGTGACAACTACAGAGGAATAACCCTCCTAAATGTAATATACAAAATATTGGCATATATTCTTTATGACCGACTATCGGGATATTCTTCTTAGAGTGCCGTCTCCCTACGGAGGTTGGCAATCATAATGGCTATTTTTATTTTAGAACTTGCTGCTCTAAACAAATCAATCGATCTGCATTGGTACCAATCATGTAGATTCTTTAACCATGAGTTCTGCCTTCGGCCAACAGATCTTCTTCCTTGAATCTTTCCCTGTATTATCAGTCTCAAAATTTCATATTTTGGTCCCCTCATCACGTGGCCTAGGTATTCCAGTTTTCTGGTTTGTATAGTGGTGATTAGTTCTGTTTCTTTACCAACCCTCTCCAGTACTTCTTTATTTGTAATTCTATCAGTCCATGATATTTTCAATACTCTGCGGTATAACCAGAGTTCGAAGGCCTCGATTCTTTTTAAATTACATTTTTTTAATGTCCAAGTCTCAGCTCCATATAATAATATTGAAAATATATAACAGCGAATGGTACGTAGTCTGATCTCCAAATTTAGATTTTTGCATGTTAGGAGTGGCTTCATTCGTATAAATTCTGATCTGGCAATCTCTATTCGTCTGTTTATTTCTACAGTATGATCATTGGTTTCATTGATCAAAGTTCCAAATACTTTTCTACTTATATTCTAATAATAACTTTTTCTACTTATATTCTACTTCTAATATTTTTCTACTTGTTCTATCACGTTACCATTTATTGTCAATAGGTGATGTATATTTTGTGGCCTTTTTGTAATCAGCATGTACTTCGTTTTTTTGGCGTTTATAGTAATTCCCATCTCAGCACTATTTATACTCAAGCTTTCGATAAGATGTTGTAGATCCTCTATACTCATTGCTATGATCACAGTGTCGTCTGCATATCTTAAATTATTAATTCGGGATCGGGATATTATGAAGACATAATAGGTAAATATCAGTGTGGGTTTTGTAAAGAAAGATCAACAACCTATCAAATATTCCTTCTAAGGCAAGCTCTGGACAAAAAATATGAGTATTTTTTTTGAAACATTTTTTTCCACTGAATACAGACTCTTGGTAAATCAACTTTTTCCATTTTCCCCACCACCAAGATGAAGGGGTTTTAAGTGAAAGCCGGGGGATAAGAGTAGTAAACTTTTTTACATATTTTTTTGGTCCCATTCTCAGCTAAATTCAGCTTTTTTGTATGATTTCTCGAGGTTCTGTGGCATTTTCGTCTCTGACAACAGGAATACTTGTTTGGTCACCATCAAATAATTACAATTACTCATTTAACTAATTACAATTAACATCCACAAAGATTATTCCAATTCAAAATGAACTAGACTATGCAAATAATCTACAGTTGAACCTTATTCAAATTTAAATTTAACACTTTCACTGAGGAGGTTTATTTCAGAATGTGTGCCTGAATTTAATGACCTTTTTGATTAGAGATATGCACAGAATGAGAAATAAAAGGACACATATGGCGGTTACCGCAGCGAAAGTGTTAAAATACTCTCTATTGCGATTATTTTTTACTGTTTGTATTGTTGATGAATATATGATTTTTGGTTATGGTGTTGTACTGTACCTGTACAGTATTATTATCAAGCTATTTCATTAAATTCTATATTCACTACTGTAAAAAGGAGAAACCTGTGAAAAATAAATATAAACTTACTTCCATTAGATGCATTTTGGTCATCTGCATTGTCTGCATGGATATTATCTTCTGCAATAGTTCTATCATTATCCAAGCAAACACTCGAGTCTAATCCATTTGGAACATTGTTAGGCACTGATTTATCAGTCTGGGATTCTTCACTCTGCTTTTGTTTATTGTTGTAATAATCATCAAATTTGTCCTTAACTGCTTTTGAAAGAATAAATAATTTGTTTATGACTTCCTTTGTTTCCTCATCAGATGATTTCTTTAAACATATTTCTTTATCAATATAATCAATGTAGTCTTTTACTTTAGCTATACCTTCTAAAACAGTACTAACTACCTCTTCATTAGACATGTTATCACCAAAAAGAGCAACCTAAAATAACATACCTTTTAGTGACATTTGACATCATTCACAATTGGTCTAGTTGAAGATAGCTACAACAAATGAAGCTGACAGAAAGAAATATTGGCTTGGCAGTGTTGCCATGTACTTAGAACGTATATTGTTATATCCTTTAAGTTCAAATACAAAGAGAGCTTTTAAGTACATTTTTATTCTCTTATTTTGATTCTGCAATTTTTTAATTTACATAAAGCACGACCAAATAAATATTTGTTTTTTTTTCGATTTTAATTTGCAGTTAATTACTTATTAGAATTTTTTTTTGATATACCACCTGATAAATTTGACAATAGAGTCAGAACACTTCAACCACCAGTTGCCAGATGTCTTTTTTACTCTACTATTTATACTGAAATTATACTATTTACTTGTTAAAAACTGTTTTAAAACTATTTACTTTTTTTTTTTGGTAATTCTAAACTATTCATTTTTATATATCTTACTGATTTTGATTGCATATGTTTCATTTTTAATGTAAATTCCAACATTGCCAAACGCCAATAAATCGTTCTGTCAAACTCATTTAACACTATCTTCACACAGGCCAATTGTGAATGATGTCCAAGATTTTTAATATTAACTGATTGTATTTTAGCAAAATGTTTCTATTTGAAAACAATACATTTTTACATATTTCCCGCCAAAATGAAAATATTCTCTGAATATAGGCTACATGTACGTACCTATATGTTTAAGTTCAAATGCATCCACATGTATTATACTGGCACTTATATTTAACATTTACTCTCGAAAAAATTTCATAAAAACAAACATCCTCTATACATCAACGCCATTTTGCAGAGCTGCTTTTTTTGACTGTCGACCGTCAGGTGTGTCAATGTCAATCTTAAGTCAAATGTCAATACACAATTCATCCACTTCATTCATTCTTTGGTTAAAAGGGTTTTATTTATACCAAAGAAGGAAAATAAGTAATTTGTATTTATACAGTTTATACGTACTGAGAATATAAAATGAAAATGTTATTATGCTGATAGAGTCTTAATTATTTATATTATTTCTCACACAAAAATTTTAGGATTGTGGGAGCCTGTCGATGACATTTGTTTTGAACACTATCAATCGAAATATCGATAGAAGTCCAGTGTTGTACTAGCTGCAGATTTGTCGGTAGACCAACTTTTTGTATAGCTATTTACCGTTACTTTATTCCTTTCCTCCATTAGTAGAGTATAAAACCAGAGAAAACAATTTAGAATATAAGATCCATTTATTTAATTTTTCTTTTGTATTATCCCATCGAAAATTGTTGATAAAAAAATATTTTAAATTTTTATTTTCATACATGTCTTCATTATGTTAATAAATGAATTTATATACAACGACTTGAAACTAATAGCAATATTTGACATAATATATAACCGTACTCCAGAAAGTTTTTTATTATATTATATAAAACTTCACATAAGCCTATAGATCAAAAAAATTAATTACCGAACAGACCACTGGATCACTAGCAAATTTTAATACTAAACAGTATTTACATTTTATCTTTCGAGTATTTTGTAAAGGAGTACGTTTAGACGTAAAGGAAATCTAGATTTTAAATAATATAACCATAAACTACAACATAAAATTTTACCTTTTTATTCAATTTGAAGGTCATTTACTTTGTTCCAGAAACTAATTTTCCCCAAAATATATGGATTTTCCTAAATGAAAAGTGGCAACACTGCTTATGAAGACTGATCAGCCTGCAACCTTGGTAGCAGCACAGCTGGTGGAGTGTTTACCTGTGTTGGCTGCTGGAAAGAAAAGTGCGATGGCTGCTGGTTGTTGTGGTACAAAGAAACAAAAATTGAACAATTCCGCCAGCATTCCGTCTTGTAATGGATCATCAGTCGTCCCGAATGGAATCAGCAACGGCCTGGGAACTGTCGCACTTCCAGATATGTGTTTCTTTTGTTTCGATGTTCTCTACAGTCATTTATATAACCTCGCTCCTCCAAAGAACCCGTCATTTAGCAATGATGCATAGTAAGTCTGCATTATTTATTTGATAATTTATGACAGCATGGATTTTTGCCTTTTGCAGACAAACTGCCATTAAATCACGTTCAGGTATTGACCAAATAGGTCATTGAACCTTCCTCAATCACTTTCCTTTGTTTAAAGGGTGCAAAATGATTGTTGCATTTTAGTGAAAAACTTCAATGTCATTCTCCAAATTTATTTTTGACAGGTGGTAATTGTTTGCTAAAGAAAAATCTTAGTTGTTTGTTCTTGTTTTTATTTGTTAATATCAAATTAATTTTATGTGTTTAAAATGGAGCTGAATCATTGTTTTTGCAAACAAAAAATCAATAAAAAACGTATCCTGATATGCATTATCGTTTGTAATAGCCTTCAATTACTGTGTGGTCATTAATTCTGCTTTAAAGGTCATCTAATTGTTTGCTTGAATTAAAGATATCTGCTGAAACTTGTGCAGTTTTTGATTAGGTCTTAAATAAAAAAATTGTTTTGTTATTGATATGCTGTTCTGCTACCAGATCGTTTTAATTAATCTTCTCACTGATATGACTGTAAATAAATTAATTGAATGTTTTATTTGAAATCAGCAAAAATTCAATTGAAGCAGGTTTTTCTCAAACATCTACAGGCCTAATCTTTTCATAGTTACAGACTATTTAGCACCTTAATAAAGTATATTTTACCTTGTTACCTCACAACAATGATTGAATATTGGTAGTTTCAAAATTTTAGGAACTCCAGAATGAGTTAAAGTAACATCATTGTTGACAGGTTATTGTAATCAGAATTGTAATTGTAATAAGAATTTTTATTATTCACATGCAGCCAAATAGTAATTAAAAACATTTTGTATTTTAAAGGTATCTAATAAAATATTTATTAACATCAATATTTTATTGAAAAAAATCTTAAAAGTATACTTACGTTTTGCCTGTAACAGTAACCTGCATTCAGACATGACAACATCTACTTGATGGGATTAAGATCTGGTGATTGTCCTTTCCACAATTAAACTGTAATATCCTCATTACGAAATCAATCTCTTATTGTTGCTGTAGTATGTGGCCTTACATTATCCTAGATGTAACTCAAATCAGGACCTACAGCAGTGGCAAATGGAAGGACAACAGGTTCTAAGATATCAATATATTGATCAATATAATGAGATTAATTCAAAGTGCCTTCTACAAAAATGGTAATAATTCGATGATGAAAAATTATTCCAGCCCACATCATCACTTAATAGACCACAATCAGCCTGTACATGCCTGAGTTTCTCTTGTCGACCAAACCAAAAACTAGTTCATCTGTGAATTACAGAGATATATATTCTTGTAAGTCCCACTGCACTTCTTGTGCCCACCTTAACCTGAGTCCACAACTTGCATGATGCATCATACAAACTCTCAATGGACGTCAGGCATGCAGGTCAGTTTCAGGTAATCTATTCCTCAAAGTTTGGTAAGATACAGTAATATTGTGGGTATTTTCTAAGGCCCATAGAGTTCATGTGCACTTATATGCACATTTCAACTAGCTAATCCTATCACATACTGATTCTATGGAGGAGTAGTTTCACATTGATAACACAATCATGAAATCACACTCTGAGACACATTAAAATGACATTATGTAACATCAGCTTGTTAAAGACCAGCCTCAATCATATGCACAGTACTTACAATTTGAACATGTGTTAAATGCCGACACTCCATGACTATGTTTTTATTTAATAATATTGTTTTAGTAAAATTTTCAAGTAAATACAGACTATCTTTAATTTGAAGTACAATTTGAAACAATTAGTCCTACGAATTTGAGGCTCTGTCACTTTTGCCTTAATAATACAGTGCAATTGACAAATTAATTTACATGGCATATCTTAATTTGTAGAGAACACATTTTCAAACCCAATAGTACTTATATATTAAAAAAATATTAAGTTTTTATTGAAAAAAAGTGGAATAATAAAGGTTTTCTTTAAACATCTTTGATGTGTGTATAAGCAATTTGATCCCAGGAACAAATCTCTTATGCCAGACAAGATTCTTGTGCCTGTTCGTCTCTTTCTAGCACATTGTGTCGACATACTTCTAATTCTTTCCACTTAAATGATACTGTCATAGTTTTAATATTTGTAAGAGTAAGAGAGAATGAACAATGAACAAAAAAAAATGGTGTCATCACTTAGCTTTACAGACTGCTCAGTGTGTCTTTAGGGTGCAAATGTTACTTTTTACATCACATTTCATACTAAAAGTAAGTACATCCAATTACATCAAAAACCCAACAAGAAGAGCTATAAATTTCCTGACAACTTCTTCAAAACTCATAGTTTAATATAATAGTTTGTTTTTGCTTAAAACACATTTGATTTGCATACAGCGAGAACTTATTTCAGAAACATATAGAACTGCTAATTTTATTTGGAATATTCAAACGAATATTCTACCAAAATTTGAAAATGAAATATACTAAACTGCCCAAGATATATGTTGTTAAACTTGAAAATCATCAAACAATTTTTCACGTTTTTTATGATTCTTCACTTTATCTAGTACTTCAATGTAATTTACTTTACATGTATGATACTTTAGTCATTCTTGATAATTGTCTCCGGTTTTAGAGAACAAATAATTCTTTATTCTTATTCAGAGACTTCAAAAAAAAAACTATAAAAAGGGTTTGCTTGACTTTTTTAAAGTCGATTGTCCAGTAAATAATTCCTCTTACTCACATCATATTCTTATCAGTTTTTTCACACAGATACTTTTCTGTAAAATTCGAAGATCAGCAATCCAACATCAGCCCAATCAACTGGTGTCCTGCTTGGCATTGACATAGCCTTATTAGTTGGAAGTGAAGATTTCATACAAGCTTCACAAGACACAACATCACCTGAATGTACTTATGATTGGTAAAGAAGATGGCAAATACAAGTAAATAATCACATTTATCAACTGCCACAACACTACGTCATGAGAAAAGCACTACGGTAATGATAGTGTTTACCAAATTTATGCTGAACACGATCAAGCTTGTCTATAGATGTTTGATAGTAAGGTCCCCATACAACTATCGCATATTCTAGTCTGGAGCGAATGAGACTGTTAAAAAGAATTGGTAAAACAAAACATGAAAATTGAGAAGTGTTTTCTAGTTATAAACCCTAATTGTTTAAATGCACTGTTTACTGTGACATCTAGATGCTTACGAAATGCTAATTTACAATCAAAATATACACCTTAATCCTTAACACAGTCCTATCTAGACAGCTGAGTGTTATCAATGCTATAATCATAATTTAAAATTGTTTGTTTCCTGTAAAAAGTAAATAACACAACACTTATTAATGTTCAATTTTAATTCATTTAGTTTGCACCAATCGCTAAATCTGCTGAGATCCTCGTGTAGCTGAATTTGATCATACTGACAAGTAATGACTTTATAAATTTTTTTATCATCAGCAAAGTTGAGAAATTTTGAATACTTAATGACTTTCTCAACATTGTTAACAAAGAGAACAAAAAGTAGAGGACCACAATGTGACCCCTGTGGTACTTCAGAGAGGACGTCAACAGATTGAGACAACAGATGATTTACTTTATCGAATGCCTTTGAGAAGTCAGTATAGATGCTGTCTACCTGGTACTTCCTTTCAAAGGCACCCAATATATCATCTTGGTAGACCAGCAAGTTTGACACTGTGCTCCTCCCCCTTTGAAAGCCATGCTGTTGGGGTATTATTATATTATTTGATAGTTTTGATAAGTGAGAAGTCACTAGTTTGTCGAGAAGTTTTGGGATTGCTGACTGTATACAAATTCTTCAGTATTTTTCAATATCTTCCCTTTTACCTGACTTAAAAATGGGTACAATATAACTGTTCTTCCAGATAGGAGGGAACTCACCAGTCATAACAGATAAATGATAAAGATATTTTAGTGGTGTAGTAAGAGAGCATAGACAGTGCTTTAATAATACCAGTGGGATTCCATCAGGCCCTGAAGAGAATTTGTTTGGAAGTTCTCTTAATTCATCAAACACTGATATAGTGTCAACTTGAATTAGGTTTACAGGGTCAATGTGTCTGACACAGTTTTCAAAATCTGGAATGGGAGCACCTTTATCTTTCTCATATACACCAGAGAAGAACTCAGCAAAAAGGTTAGCAATTTCGATATTGCCCTGTGCCCTTCTGTTACGGAGATACATTTCTTGGGGGTAACTCGAAGATTTACGAAGTCTGCCAATGTATCCCCAAAATTCTCGGGGGGTTATTACTAAAATTTTTTTCAAGAGACGAAAAACGTTGTGTCTGACAAAGTGTGTGTTCAACTTTACATTGATCACGCAAATTAGAGAACAATAAGTAGTCCTCGTTTGATTTAGATAATTTAAACCTCAGATGAGCTTTTTCCTTTTGAATAATAAGATCTTTAAGTTTTATTAAGAACCAAATTGGGAACTTGTCGGAATACTTGACAGCCTTCATAGGAACAAAAATATCTAAACACTGATACATATAGCTGTAAAATATTTGACAAGCCTCATTTATATTATTACAATGGTATAATGCATCCCAATTAACTGAAGAAGATAAAGGTTAACATAATTAAAATTACAGTTTTTGAAATTATAAACATAGCCTTCATAAAAAACCGACTCTTTAAAATAGCCAATAGGGATAAAAAATTCATATGGCTTATGCCTGAATGATTCACAAAATAATGGATCGACCGGCGAAAACACATTTAGATCAGGAATGTGTGAAAAAACGAGATCCAGGAATGTTCCATGTCTGTTTGGTATATTATTGCACTGATAGAGATTTAAAAATGCAAAAGATCCACATACTATATTCGCATGAGAGCCATTAGGAAGTAAGGTAGATAAATAAATCCCGTTTTGATCATTAGCCCATTGAGGGCTAAATTGAACTAAAACTTAAAAAAATGAACATCCAAAACAAAATCATTTTTTATAAAGCAATTCTCAAACTTAGCTGGTACTACGGATTTCATCTGTGGGGGTGTGCAAAACCATTGTCTCTGAACATCATTTAAAGATATCAGTTTAACATGCTAAGATTGATAATAAACACACCATGGTACGCAAGTAACCAGGACTTGAAGATCCCATCTATGAGAGAAAGTTATGAAGACACAAAATCGCAGAGTAAGTGTTACCATGTACCACAAACATAACAAGAACAGAAACGAAGATTTACAAACCAAAACTGATGTTGTAGAGGTCAAAGAGAGTCTTAACTGAGTGGTAAAGATAAAAGATGGACTCGAAAACTGCTGGAATAAGAGGCCAAGCACAAATAAGTAAAGCATGTATACCATGCCAGGAGAACTTTTGGATGATTGTTTATAACAACGACAGGAATTTGGTCAAAAATTAGGTAAAATACTTCAAACCTAACATTTAAATTTTTGCTTCTGTATTTCTTCATAGCAGTTGTTGGTTTTCTTGAATTCCATTTACAATTCATAAATAAAAAATGGTAGTGATGTTATCTCCTTGATTTCCAGTCTATCCATTCCTTCTTTATTATTACTTCTGGTTATCTACAGCTCTATCACCCACTCACTTTTCATTCTCGTCATATTTTAAAATCAGTTCCGTTGTTTTTTCTCCTATACACAGATATTTTGTTTTGTTGAAGTTCATTGCTTTTTTCATATTCCTATTTTAGTTTCCTCGTCTTTCTAGGGACCTAGAAATCGCGATGTTAAAAGACGGCATTAAATGATGTTTTACACATATATGTAAGTACCCATAACCGGTTGTGTTTAATGCAGTTAAATATCAAGAATCGTATAAATAACTTCATTTTACTTTTCAGTCCCTTGTTTGTTACCTGGAAAATCGGAAAAGACAAGAGACTTCGAGGCTGCATCGGCACGTTTAATGCCATGAATCTACAATCAGGACTCAGAGAATATGCCATAACAAGTGCTTTAAAGGACTCTAGGTTTAGTCCAATAACTCGCGACGAATTTCCGAAACTCAGTGTGTCAGTGTCGATTCTTAGACACTTCGAAGATGGCGACGATTACTTAGACTGGCAAGTCGGAGTTCATGGGATTCGGATAGAGTTCATCAACGAAAAAGGGAACAAGAGGACCGCTACTTACTTGCCAGAAGTAGCATCTGAACAAGGTAAGAACATTTTAGAAATTAATCCAAAGATAATGTTACTTTTTGATTTGTCATTTATCCTTTGAAATTGGAATTCCTAATACTTCCAAAATAGAGTTGTTCTTGACAGCAACTCATCATCAAATACAATACAGTTTTTCACACGGAGTTTGTTATTTACCAGTGACTTATTTGTGTCACAAGTGAAAATCAAGTTACATTCATGGTCCTTCGAGACGGATCTCAATTTTTTGAACGCTGCTTAAACTAACACCTGTTGCCAATACCAAACGCTCCTGTACTTTTTCAAATCTCTACACGGTTTATTGTCTTTGGCTTCCTTTCTCATAAAATAAGTTACATTTACTATGACTTCCCGTGTCTGATTATCTAAAACTTTTCCCTTCAGATTCAATTTAAACTCCATGTTTAGTATAGGACACAACACAGATTTGCAAATTTGGAAATTACTCTCCTTTGCGGTTCGTACTTACAAAAAATGTTTCGCAGACTGTACTGACTTGTTCACGTCACAAATTGTCACATACTGTAATTACCACTAAGTATTACTAGTTGTTCCTGCTTCATTATTAAATATTTACATTTTTGTTTGTTAATAGGTTGGGATCAGCTGCAAACCATAGACTCTTTACTTCGGAAGGGGGGCTACAAATCAGTGATATCAAGCGAAGTGCGCCGTACAATAAAACTTACTCGTTATCAAAGTGAAAAGATAACAGTGACTTATCAGGAATATATGAACCATTGGAACAACCAGCGCTGCTAGCGGTTAGTGTGGGGGTGTCCCTTAGTACCACCCCCACATCTGCAACCTCCGCAAACTTCGTCGTACACCGCAGTGCCCACTTTCTTAATGGTGCAGCCCCCACTTCCGATTCCGACCTACGGGCCTCCCGCCGTGGGGCCCCCTGCCCATGCTACACTGCCCATGTGGTGGGACAACTATCCGGGGCCGTCTTATCAGCAGGACTTACCCGGGATGTCGCCGCCCGAATCTCAGTATAACGTTTATCATAATTTCTTTCGTAAGCCGAACTGACCAATCAGTTGTTAGATCTGTCGATGAAGAGATACTCATCAAACAAAATCCTTCAAACGCTATCACGCATTCTCACCGATTAAGTCACTAAAGAATTTTGTACATACGAGGTAATGCCTTTTGGTGAGCTCAAAATACAAATTATATTTAATATAAAAACTTAAAACTAACCTTAACACTAACAGAGATGTAAGTTGGAAATGTTGAACTCAAAGGAAGGTAACGTCTTTCTTTTGCATACCAGTTTCCTCCATGGTTTCTGAGATATTGCAATGAAAATGATTCAAATCAATTTAATACGTCTAACGTAGATCAACTGCCATAAAGCACCAAATAATTCATTTAAATTCGAAACGATAATCAAAATTTATTGAACATTTGGTTATTCTGTCAATATCTCTTATATAGTTCTATACGTTTTGTGAAAATCATTGTAGTTAGCTCGAGAATATCTGCCAGATGTTCTGGAGTTAAATACTCTAAGTCATAGATACTAAATACTGGACAATTCTTAAAATCTAAACGGTAATTACGATGCGGCATTACACACAGACGGGAAGGAACGGGTCGAAGGAATAGAGGTGGAACGGGACAATCAACGCTCGGCCCGGCGAGAAACGGAAGGATCAATCAGTACTTAGCCAAAGGAAAGAATCGGTCTGTGTCAGATAAATACTCCGAGACCGGGTATGGAATTGCCACTAGATCAATACTATAGCAGAAGCAGTAGTCCTTCAGTCAATACCCTAGGGCTAGTGGAGTTGTTGTCAGATCAACACTTCGACGGAACTCGCCTTTTTCTTGCAGCGGCTGCTGTTTTATAAATAGCCGCTCTGGACACCACCTCGTCGTCTCGTCGTGGAAATGGATGCGTGACTATCGACACTCCCACGGTTCGAACTGTTAAACGCTCAGCACATCGTTACACCCCCTTCTCTTTGAAAAAAAAAGGAACATACCTTTTTTGTGTAAGACGTCTAAGCCTTGTGATGCCATCTATCCCTAGCGGTATCTTTACCACAATCTTTCTCCCGTTGTTCCTTGCTTTGTTTTTTTTTTCAGTTGGTAATCTTAAGTGGTTTCAGATGTTGTTCCATTTGTTCCATGTATCAAGTTTGGGTCTTCCCTTTGACCTTCTCCCTATTGGTATTTGCCTCGTGTCTGCTAGGACGACTTGGTCATCCGCAAAGTTCAAGGAGAACAGTACTTGCCAAGCTTGCGACAGTTTAAGTATTGGAACTGTATCATATGCCTTTTCTAGGTCGATGAATACTAGATATGCTTCGGTACCAACGCTATTTTTTTTATTTGATGGATTCGACCGTTACTTGATGGAAATTCATTTTATGTAACAATAAAACACTGAAAACTTTGTTTTCAAACTTCCACAAATATTTTTTTTTCTAATAATTGTTGAAGCATAAAAAGTTATCAGTGTAAGAGCTACCAGGCGTAAATCCACTTTGGTCTTTGCCAATTAGATGTTCAGAACATAACTCATATTGAAACACTCTGCTGATTGTTAGCGTAGGACGCAAATTGTGGGCTGTTTGATAATAGAAATGTCATATCTGACAAAATCTGGCTCAATTTTTGAAATCTCTGTTCAACATTACGAACTTCTTAAGCTATATATGCCTTGCGCATTCTTCTCCAACTTTAACCAGTTTGTACCTGAATGTAGATCTTGAGCTTTCATATTTAACTATTTTAATTGAGAATTTGCAAAAAGGCATTACTTTTTTCAGTCTAATAATAGTTTTGTTTGAAATTGATGACATACAAGCTGTTATAAGTAAGTGAGAACGCTAAATAACAATTATTGGTATGTAGAATTAGGTTTAGTTGTGAGAAAATGCTCTTTGATGTATCAATTTGATGCAACGCTAAAACTTTTGCTTTGTTTATATCTTGCAACGCCTTAAAACTGTCATTGATGGATTTTGTTTTTTGAAATTTGGACCCAGCTATGTTACTCGACTAGTTTTTAATGGTTATATAATTATGTGGTTATACATTTCACTTTTTTAATCACGTACAATCAAGTACTAACTAAAAGTGAATACTAACAACAAATTTTATATCTATATTTTTTATCTCTTATTCGTATTTTTTTTATAAAAAGTTTTAACTCGTTTTAACTTACAAATAACTGTAGTATCATTGGGTGTACAGACAGTGAAGAACGTTTTGGCGGAAAAATTTAAAACAACAGGTATTATATAGGAGCACCTTCACACATCAGTTGGCTCAACGTTAGATTGATAAGATAAAAGCGCAGCGTAATTTTTAATGAAAACTAATACTCCCCTATATTTTTAATGACATCCACAATTCTTCGAGGCATAGTTGTTACCAAGTTGTGGGCCTCTGGGTGACATGTTGATCTAGAAACATGTCTTCCAATAACGTCACTTCATAAAACGCTTAATTCCATATAATTTGCTCATCCATCACCATAATGCGCTTCGATCTGCTTCGGTTATTTTACTTTTTCGTACATTTCTAGGTTTTATGACGACCGAACCTGTAGTTTTGTATCTTCTGACTATATTTCTTGCACTATTGGCGACGTGCAAGTACTTGGAGGGGATACGGGAAACGATCGTGCGCGAGTAGTGGAGAAATCTTGCATTTTTTACTGTACATTTCATAGATTATAGATTTCATAAATTCATATTGTCAATTGTCATATTTCATATTCGTTTTGTTTATTTACACCGTCTGTCACTGAAGAAAATGGGATTTAGGAAATGCTGTGTTATAAATTGTAAAAATAGACAAAAAAATATCAATTTAAGTTTTATTCGTTTCCAACTTCGAAGCACAAAGCTACTACAAAGAGAAAAGTGGATTTATATCATAAAAAAGCATAAGTAACATAACCTAAATTATGCATTATTCTTGCGCCCGATTTTAAAGTTAGTTTGAAATAAATAATAAATAAAAGTTCACTTTTAAGTGTAAATTTTAGTTTCATAACACTCACTTAGAGTTCATTTTAACCAAAAATCAAGTTTAATGTTTGAATTTTATTTTTTTGAAGTTTACAAAATGCATCAAGTTCAAGTTTTTCTGAAGATGCATTAAGATATATTCGCTGTCCAAAAGTTTACAGGGAAAGAATTAATTGTTCAAACCAATATGATGATATCATGGGCTTAACCTGCTAATTTATGCATTAGCATTATTTATGGTAATTTATTTTTCTTAATTCTTCCACTCCACATAATTCTTCCATTTTTTTTGACATTTGCCACTACTAAAGCTTTTCCCTTTGACTCGTGCTTGGTTGAAAAGTTATTTGGTGATTTACTTTCTCAAATCCAGTTTTTATTATTGCATCCATATTAACAGTAATGCTGTAATTCAATAATATATTTATTTGTACATACGCTACATCAACGTTTACCTTTTAATAACACAATGACGTATAATATATAAACTACGCAGTCCCTATTCTCGCTATAGAATCGAGTGTCCGAAAGATCTCGGCTCATGGTTGAAGGTATGTTTATCAGAACAGCGGCGTGCTCATTTATATGTTAATGACAATAATTATTTTTTTAATTAAAATTTAATATTTATGATTTCTTTTTGTTCCCGTCTATAAGAGAATTAATTATATTGATAAAATAGTATGGCATTTTACTAAAATAGTAAGTAAATAACTCTCAACCATTTAAAATAAAATTTGCTTGTCACTCAAAATGGAGAAAATGTTTTCATACGTCCATGATGTTTTCAAACACAAGATCAACTTCGTGATGCTTCGTAAGAAATCATGAACTTCGTGCATCTTCGTATCAAAACAATAAACAATAACAAAGGTATTCATGTTTTGGACACTTTTTAAAGCGTTCACCGAGTCTATATATTATACGTCATTGTAATAACATACCGACATAACCTCAATCTTACTTTTTCTTCTTATTCTTTGTTGGAGCCACGTCCTTGACAGTTATCCGGTAACCTCGATCTAACATGAAAGCGCAGTAAATTTGGCTGATTTACGACACCAGGTGTCGCTGTTCCGAACTTGCACGGTCCCAATAGCGTGACAATTGCAATATATTTGCGAATTCCGAATTGGATTTTACAGAAATAAAAAATCTAGTAATGATTGAACAAATTTTCTCATCGATAACTTTACTTCGACCCATTGTACAATCCATAAACTGCTAAAAGCTTTACAATACTACAAAATACATTTTACATTAACTGACACTATTATTATTTTGATGTCATTTTTCCATAGAAAATTACCAAACGTATGTTGACATAAGTGAATGCGTAGCGAGGGTGTAGTGATTTTTTTATTGTTGAAAATAAATAAAAAACCATAAGGGTAATGTTTTTAATAAATATTAATAAAAATGCGAAAAAATAGAAAGAAACAGAATCCAGGCCGTAGAATAATGTCATGGTTGTGTAATTTGAAAGAGTGGTTTCGCTGTAGCACTAATGAACTCTTTAGGTCAGCTGTAAACCTAAACATGGGAAGGGGTCGTATTTTAACACCAAACTATTTAAAAAGTTACAGTACCGTAGGCTATGTCAATACGCCAAAGCTCTCCGAACCAGGATACTACTTTCTTGAGTTCTTCGTTGTTCCAAACCCCTTTCCGCCAAGAACTCCTTCAGTTTCGGTAGCACGTGATAATCAATAGGTGCGAGGTCTGGGCTGTAGTGAGGCTGCTCGAAAATTTCCCGTTATAGACGTTGAACTTCTTGCCAATGCATCAAAAACACCTTCGTCTACAACATGCCACGACGCAAGAAAGCAAGGGCTGCTCCCATTCTTTTTGTCTTATGAACCTCTGTCAGAACCTTTGGTACCCACCGAGCTCACATTTTTTTAGCCAATGCGCTCAGTTATTATTTCAACTAATAGAATTTGAGAAATTTGTGCAAAAGAATCATGTGGTTAAAATGAATCACCGGTTTTTCTGAATTTTGTCAATTCCTCTCCCACAATAGATGGCCTCCCACTCCGTTCTTCATCGTGCTCACTGGTTTTTTCTTGGTCGGCATAATGTAGCATTTCCTCACTGAAGATTCGTTCATTACATTTTCACCATAAACAGCTTTTATATGCCTATAAATGTCGATGGGGCAACTTTTGCATATCCAAAAACCGAATGACACTGCATACATATTTGGCCAGATTTTCAATGAATGCCGCCATTTCAAAGTGTAATAGAACAAACAAGCGTTACCACACAATAACGATACTTCGTTCACAATAATACGACAGATTAGCGTTGCCAGGCCCAAAAAATTTATTTCTGCAAATTGTGTTATAAAGGTTGCCAGATTTTGAACAGATTTCCCCAGATTTATAGATTTCCGTTAACGATAATATATCCAGCCATAGGAATTTTCACCGCTTTTTATTTGTTTCGACCTTCTGTCATATTGCGTATATTAATATTATACACGGATTATATGACATAATATGATAGACGCTCTAAACAAATGGGAAGTGTTGTAAAGTCCTATTAGTGACACTGACAGGCATAGTAATTGTTTTTGGCATTATTGACAGTTTTATATAGAATTACAGGAATTGACAAATGACAATACCTCATGACTCCTAACAAGTCTTGATAATTATATTTGTTTCTTTCAAGTCGGGGAACTCCGGACCTACACAGGTGGTTCTTAATAGATGACAGTGCCAGTAATATTCACATAATTAAATACTGGACTTTTAAAAATAACTTTTTTTTACTAAATTTGATAACATTTTAACCAGTTTGATTTCCCCAGTCATTTTAAAAAAGTTTGCTCCCAGTCTCCCAAGATTCTCAATTTTCCCCAGTTCTGAGGAAAAATCCCCAGACCTGGCATCTCTGCGACAGATAGAGGTAACTGGCGCGCACGAAGCCATGGTGGTGGGGGTTTGGCGCCGCGCGTGATTCGCAATCGTTCTTTACTTTCTGGATGACCAAAAATTTATTTTGAATTTAATTTACCATGGCTGATCCAATATTTATTCATCGATTGGTCGTAATTTTTGTTATGTTATATTGTAGAGGTGGTAGATTTTGTTATTCAATTTTCTACTTGCCTATTACCACAAAAAACAACACCAAAGGTTTTACACTTGGTAAAATTCTACAAAAAAATACGTTATTATCGTAAAAAAAGAGTCATTAGTTGTGTAACCTATGAAATTTAAACCTTTGGGTGGGTCGTCATTCATCAATGACATTTTGAATTGCAAACAAAGATTAACACCTCAAAAAAAGACTATAATAAAAGGAGAAACAAATAATTCATTTCATATAAATTATTTGTTTCTGAATGAAATATGCTTGATATTGTTCTGAAGCTATTTTTTATGGCATTTTAAAGTAATTACTATTTTAATGAGAATAAGCCACAATTGATTGAATTGATTAAAAAATCCAAAACTAAAATTTTCTTAAAAAATTTACCAAGTGTAAAATCTTAAGAGCGTTTTTAATGTTATATAAGTATCTCACGATTGTAGTCATCAGTTAAGCAATGATAAAACACGCTGTGCTTTTTGAATGAGCTGATAGTGAACAAAAAAATTTTTTGACCAAAAAGAGAAAATAAAATGCCTGCAGTTATGCAATCGTTAATGCCACATTAGTGTGATAATGGACCACAGGAGTGATGACGTAGATTTGATTGACATCTGTCAGTTTCACTTTCCAAACAAACCTTGTTTAGTGTGGATAATTTGTATTTTTCGTTATTTTTTCATTTATTTTATAGAATCTTTCCGCTTTTTGCAATATTTAAGTATTCTAATAGTTACTATAACAATTTTACAAGGTTGTGTAAATAATAAAGCACATTGTTTTATGCTAATAGGAAT